TATCCCAAGCAATTGATAATAAAGGTCCAAAACTCACAATAACCTAGTTAACAACTGACACAACATTCATATAACAAATAGTAAAAGAATTCCATGCTGTTTTGCTGGACTTCAGTTTAGCAACATTACAGCAATTGTTACCAGCGCCCAAATACTCCATTTCCAGGGTGGGACAGAGAATAAATTCCAAAATGTCTGTGAGATGTTAGCATTGTCATTTGTTTCATATGATGATAATCATAAAATAGATTTTATAAATCATAAAATAGCGCATTATGGAAAAACTTTGAATTGAGCTATATACCATACCAATCTTCCCCTCTTCAAAGAAAGCATTTAAAAATATAGTCTGTTTTGGGGCGCCTGGGTGGCTCAGTTGGTTAAGCAACTGCCTTTGACTCAGGTCATGATCCTGGAGTCCTGGGATCAAGTCCCGCATCGGGCTCCCTGCTTGGCAGGGAGTCTGCTTCTCCCTCTGACCCTCCTCCCTCTCATGCTCTCTGTCTCTCATTCTCTCTCTCAAATAAATAAATAAAATCTTAAAAAAAAAAAAAAAAAATTAAAAATATAGTCTGTTTCAATAAATATACTAAAAACATTATTACAAATTATACTGGGAATCCAAATAGATTTTATCTAAGTGGACACTGTATTTATCTATAAAAAAATCCTTTAAAATAAAATTTGCTATAAAGTCAAAATAATTTCATCAAGGTCATGGCATATTTCAACACTAAATAGTTCTAAGCGTAATTAGATGCTGCAAATAAGGAATTTAGCTGGAAAGATGAGCTATGCAGGATGTGGGGTACCTGGCTGGCTCAGCCGGTAGGGCATGCGACTCTTGATCTCAGGGTCATGAGTTCGAGCCCCACACTGGACGTGGAGCCTACTTTAAAAAAAAAAAAAAAAAATCCAGGAGGTAGGTAACTCAGCCTCAACATATTCAGAAATCATATTTTTTAAAATTCCCATTTTCTCTAAATTATTTTCATATGACTATGATCCATTTACATAAACAAATCCAGTTATAAAAACAAAATTAAACCATTTTTTACCTTTTTTAATGTAAAAATAATTTCAGATATGGAGAAAAGTTGTAAGAACACTACAAAGAATATATTTTTCCTGAATAATTTACTGTAATTACATCTCATAAACCCCAAATATTGTATTGTGTACTAGCTACAAATACAGATATCTTCCTAAATAATCCCAATTTTACAATCAAAATTTAAAAATTAACACTGATGTATCACTACCATGTAACACCCCATTCAACTTTTACCAATTGTCCCATTAACGTCCTGTACAGCAACAAAATTAGGTTCAGGGTCACACACTGCCTTTTGTTTTCATGTTCTTTAGACTCCTTCGACCTGAAATACTTCCTCACTATTTTCTTGTTTCTCATGATCTTGATACATTTGAAGATTACAGGCCAGTTATTCTGTAGACTGTGCCTCAATCTGGGTTTGTCTGATTTATCTTCATGATTGGATTTAAGGTACACATCCTTTGGTAAAAATATCCAAGAAGTGATGCTGGGCATTTTTTCACTGCCATTCTCCAAGGTGGCGCACCGTTCTAATTTCACCATTACTGATAATATTAACTTTGACAGCTTGATTAAGGAAGGTGGTTATTGCCAGGCTTCTCCATTGTAAAGTTACTCTTTTTTCTTTTTTAATTATTTTGTGTGGAGATACTTTGTGTGATTATACAAATATCCCATTCCTCATCACTGATTTTGTTCATTTATATAACTATTTTATTCAGTGGGTTACAATTCGTCCTTGTCATTATTTATTTTGATACCTCAATTGTCCTAGTTTGGCCAGCTGGAGCCTTTTAAAGCTGGCTTTTGCACCTTGCTGACATGTCCCCTTCACCCTTCAAATACTTCCTTATTTTGTCATCTTAGGATGCTCCAGGTTCATCTTTCTTGCTCCAGCTATGGAATCCACCACCTCTCCAAAGAGTCCTGTTTCCTATGTATGACTTCTCTTCTTGAGACTAGAAGGGGGTAGGCTCTTGTTTCATTTCTTTGACCTTCCTAACTCAGGACAATCAGTTGATGAATCTCCAAAGTAAAGTGGTGAAAGGATTTAAAATCGAGCAAGTTTAATAAGATTGGCAAAAAATATGATGCACCAAACTTTCCCAAACTCCACAACACTCTACCCCTGTACTATTTTGAAAATGTAGTAAAAGCCCTTTTGACTGTTTCCCTTTCTCTAAATTCCATCTACACATGATATTCTAGTTGAATATGCTATATACTAAAAACTTTGATCCAAGTAATACAGTAGTTACTGTTAAAACTTTGAAAGTTTTCTGGCTAAAAGAATCCATGACCATATTCCCAAGTGTTACACTAAAGATAAACAGTATAGAAAAGGTACTCCCAAGAGTCTTTTCCAACTAATAGACAACGTCATGGCTCATCTCCTCCTTTAGTGTGAATGATGAAGCTGAGTCACTGGTGAAACACTTGCTTCCAAGGATGTTATTTGGTACATTAACATGACCATAATTTTATATGTACAAAAACAGTAAATCATTTCAAGGGAGTCATAGAGTACTTTCTCAGGAAAACGAGCAGGATAACGTAAGACTTGGCTTGACAGTGCACAAATCTGTGTTAGCAATTCACTTTCTTGAAATAATCAAATTGGGACTGGAAAGTAATGGGGGTTATATAAGGCTCTCTTACAAAACATGAGAAAAGACATTATTTTTCATTACTTAAAATTATATATGCTGGTAAAATTCAGTGAAGTATTTTGCTGTCTGATAACCATGTCCTGAGGGATACAAAAGAAATACATCTGTACACCTTGCAACACTGACACACCTCTTCCTGTAACAGCACTAATATAACATAAAATTGTGAAGCAGGGACTTGCAAGTGGTTTTTGAAGTAATTCTCCCAAAGCCCCTCCTAGCAATATAATAACTATTGGAGTCATTTTTACAAACAAGAGGCTAAGACTCTGAGAGATACCCTGCCTAAGATAACACAGCTAGTGAACGGCAGTTCATATTCAAACCCAGATCTTCTGCAAGTTAGCACAAACTTAATTATTCTGATAAAGTGACATGAAAGAAATTAAAAGAAAAGCAAAAGAAAATGGAAATAAAAGCTAAAATGAGATACGTTTTTAAAAAAAGACTATTCAAGGGAAGAGAGGACAGAAAGAGAACAAATGACAAGAGGAGGCGGCGACGGCGGTGATGGGAGTGCGCTGCTGAGGCGCGGGGTGTTAAGCAGGACAACCGCTGCTTTCTCTTGGACATTTTAGGGAGCATATTGTAGTGACCTAAGTTCAGATTAGAAATGGTTTTCAAATGTGAGGAACTTTCTCACATATCAGAAAAATCCTAAGACACTAAATTTAAGTATACACTGAAAGGAAAAATACTTTGTTTCATGAAATTAAATGAGGGAAAACTTGTACCAAGGTAAGCTCAAACAGAAGGACCAACCTCAGTATTTTTATTTTTATTTAATATTACTCTTTCATGGATTTCCTTGGGTTCTCAAGGATCTGAGTAAATCTTTTTTTTTTTTTTAAAGATTTTTATTTATTTATTCATGAGAGACAGAGAGAGAGAGAGAGGCAGAGGGAGAAGCAGGCTCCCAAGGAGCAGAGAGCCCGATGCGGGACTCGATCCCAGGACTCTGGGATCATGACCTGAGCCGAAGGCAGACGCTCAACCATCTGAGCCACCCAGGCGCCAAGGATCTAAGTAAATCTTAATATGCAATCCAAATACCTTAAAGCTAGGAACCAACTAGCATTCAGGAAAGAACCAAATATCCCCCCCAAACAAAGTGAAAAGGTGATCAGGAAGGCCAAGCTAGATTGGAGGTGGGGGAGGGGTGGCAGAAGGGAAAGCCTTGTGGGTCTAGTGTAGCTGTTAAAGCCTGACCTGGCTGAAGAGGGTGTTCACATGGGGGTGCTGGGGGCTTGGCCCAGTAGTGAGGAGAGTAGCCCTGCAGGAGGGCAGTCCAGTCTGGTGCACAGTATGGGAGCATATGTAGGATGAAGGGGTTGTCCTCTACAAAAGCATGGCCTGGCTTCAGGTGAGGAGGATGTCCTGCTGCAGGGGAAGAGGTGGGAAGGATAAAGGGGGATAAGCCTGGTATACAATGCCAGAGCATGAGCTCAGTGAAAAGGGTGTCAATACAGGGCGAGTCACTGTGGTGGTGGCCTGGAGTTAGGTGGTTAGAGTCTGAACTGGGTGAAAAGGATGCTTGTGCAATGAAGGGAACAGTGACAAGTTTAGTTACATACAGGAAGACTGATCAAAGGAAGTAAGTATTAAGGAGACTTGGAGACAGATTTCTCATGGTTAGAAAAAGGAGAAAACCAGGATGAACTCTGTACTACTGAATTAAAATGGAAAGTATCAGTGTCAACTTATGATTTTCAATACAGACATATACCTATGATTAGGAATATAGATGTAAATGTGTGTAAATGTGTCTACACACACACACACACACGCGCGCGCATGCAAAATCTGTTCCCCAGCTCTTTCCATTGAGACGGTCTGGGAACAGTGATACTCCAATAACAATCAGCGTAGTATCTAGTTCCCCACTCTTGATTTCTAAATACCATTCTCCAAAAAAAGGAAGCTGGATTAGAGAAAGTACAAGATGAGCGTGGAACATCTTGTTACATGGAAGGACAACACAAGGATGACACATGACACTTGAATGGGGTCTGAAAATTAGATGCAGTAATGTATCAGTGTCAACATCGTCATTTTGATGGTTGCATTATGGTTGCTAGGAGAAAATCCTTGTTTCTAAGAAACACACATTAAAGTACTTGAAAATGATGGGGCTACGGGTCAGCAACTTTCTCTCAAATAGTTCATGGAAAAAAGTTCTTGTATATACTTTTCTACAGTTTGTGATTAAACGGATGAATGGAAACGGGGAAGAAGAAAAGGCAGTCAGGTGAAGGGCAGGAAGAACTACTTACTGAGGTCTTCAGCCAGCTGAACTCGTTTGCCAGTGAGCAGTTTTACCTTCTTCTCGCTGTCTTCAGCAAAATCTTCCAATACCTCTTTCACATTTTTCTCTAATCGCCTGACTGTTCAAAGTAAACAAAAAACTTGAGGAGCATCATTTTTATGAATGCACAGGGAGGATAAATCAGCAATATTTGGAGAGTAAGTCCCAATTGTTCTCATCATGTTAGATCTATTCAGTTCCGACTTCTCACAGATATAGGGAGAATCTGTACCTGTTAATAGTACTTTTATCCAACATGAATCTAATACATATTCTCAGAGAAAGTCATATTCTCAAGTCCTAACACTTTAAAGAAGTGAGGATTTCCCTCAAAAAACTTAAGTGTTGCTTAGGAGTCCTTTTCTAACAGTTTTTGTGTAATGAAGGGAGACTCCTGCTATGTTTTATCTCCCATCTTTTCCAATTATGATTTATTTTCGTTAATATTTTAAGGGCAGATTATAGTTCTCAATTTTTCTAACAAATCTATTTTTTTTCATTTATTTTTAATTTATTTGATAGAAAGTGCGCGTGTGGGGTGGGCAGGGGGAGAGGGAGAGAGAGAGAGAGAGAGAATCTCAAGCAGACTCAATTTCATGACCCTGAGATCATGACTTGAGCAGAAATCAAGAGTCAGAGGCTTAACCAACTGAGCCACCCAGGTGCCCCTAACGAATCTATTTTTAAAGAAGTATTTTGATATCCTTCCATTAAAAATGAGTTATTACTATTTTTTTGATGTTAGAAAGTGGTCCCTCTGTGGCTTACCTTCAGTGTTTGTAAGTTGCTGCCTTAAAGTATTTGCAGTGATAGCAAGCATGCGCTGTATTCGCCAAAACAGGACGACATCATTGCATTCCAACTGAAATTTAGGTAATTAAAATTACCAGATGCAAATTTAAAAATGAAAACCACGATCATAAACACATACGACTACTGAAGTTAGTACCTATACCCTAAACTTTAATAAAAACCCTCATATTTACCTAATACATATATTCCTATTGTAGATATAAGCCACTGAATCTTTTCTGCACAGGTCCATGAACATCTGCATGATTTCGCGTCAATCTGCCCCCCCCCCCCAAGCACAGAGGTTTGATTCCAATGACAAAGCAAATAAACTTGGGAAGTAGAGAATTGCATGACATTATATACAAGTAGAAATTCATAGCACATACCCTTAATTTTTATTTAGTTTCAGCTAACAACCATGTTAGCTTAAATACACCCTGAGGTTAACCTCTTTTCTTTGTGCACTCAAGCCAGTTTTGAAATGCAATTGTATATAAAAGTAAATTAATAATATGTTGTTTTAAAAGAAGCTTATTCTATAGAAAGGTCTCCTCAACAATTACGCAAAAAACTTGCCACTTTTTACATAGATATATTTAAATACAAATTTATTTTAAGCTGTAGAAAACTCAAAAGCTTATTTTAGGGGTCTCAAATAAGATCACTGATTAACAGAGAGCTCTTTCAGAAGGATACTTTAAAAAGCATTTCTGCTTGTAAGAAAATGCTCAAAATACATGAGTCTGCTGCCACCTAGGGGTTACTCTGTGAAACGTGACATTAACGTACAACCTTATATACTTCTTTTAAATAATTGTTTAGAGATTTTAATGATATAAAGAATTACAATACAGGAAAAAACACAATAAAAACTGTTTTTGCAGTACGATTTCCACTATCCAAATGGACTGTTATATCATACACATGCATACACAACTAAGTATAGAAAGAATTGAACAGATATATATATAAATGTTAACTAAAATTACTTCTAGGTCAGGGGATTATAAGTGACTTATTCCTCAATAGGGAATATTTAAATTAAGTGACTATTTCCTTTTGCAATTTTTTTTTACATTTGTTCATTGCATTTTTACAAGAATGTATTATTTTCTAACATAAAAAAGTTAATTCTTTTTTTTTAAGATTTTGTTTATTGATTTCTTAAAGATTATTTATTTATTTATTTATTAGAGAGTGAGCAGGAGAGAAACAGCATGAGAGGGGAGAGGGTCAGAGGGAGAAGCAGGCTCCCCGCTGAGCCAGGAACCTGATGTGGGACTCGATCCCAGGACCCTGGGATCATGACCTGAGCTGAAGGCAGTCGCTTAACCAACTGAGCCACCCAGGCGCCCCAAGATTTTGTTTATTGATTTCGTATCAGAGAGAGAGCAAGCACAAGCAAGTGGCAGAAGGAGAGGTAGAAGCAGACTCCCCGCTGAGCAGAGAGCCCAACATGGGACTCGATCACAGAACCCTGAGATAATGACCTGAGCTGAAGGCAGACGCTTAAATGACTGAGCCACCCAGGTGCCCCAAGAAGTTAATTCTTAAAAAAACATTTAAAAAGTGGTTTATTCGCATACAAAATCTTATAGTGTGTAAAATATAAACTGGAATACCTTAGAAAAGACAGCAGTTAGGTTATTCTTCATCAATCACACATTCTTTCCCCAGTAGATCAAAGGATTTAAAACTAATGCTAAAGTTATAGTTTACTTTTAAGCATGTAAACGATCACTAAAAGCATTTCCCCTTGTTTTTGGACACCTTACCTCAGAATCTACAAAATGCCTTTGGTAGTAGTAAAAGCCTCTTCGACAAAGGTTACAATGGTTTAGAGCTGTTTTTAAGAAGTGTCTTCTATAAACTTGGTGCCAAGTATCCTTAATCTAAAATGAAAAAAGAAAACAAAAAACTGAGTTACTGTACACTCTGCAGGTTGACCAAACACATTCTGAAAAGTCATCCGAAGAGTTTACTTATAAAAAAAAATAATTAAAACTAAGAGCAATGTTATTATTCTACCAACCTTTTTTATCCATTAAAAAAATTTTTTTTAAGACAAAGATTAGATTTACCACTCCTCTGACTCCTTACCAGTTTATGTACTTCTAAATATGCAATGTTTTTAACAAGCATTGTTATATTCATATAATCATCCTGTAGGGTATATAGGGTTGAGATTATTATCTTGCCTAGTAAGAGGTAAGGAGCCCCAAGGAAAAAGGGGTAGTGAGCCAAATCTAAGGACAGAGTTTTAGGACTAGGAAGCTGGTCTCAGACCATGTCTATCAATGCAACAATATTTCCTTTTTGATTACTACATTTCGTTGTTACCACAACAAAATGACCCCTCCGATGTCATTACTATGTAGAGTGTTCAAGGTTCTTTCACACCATTATCTTTTCTGAGCATGACAATAATAATGTTAAGTAGGTATAACAAGTATCACCAACACTATATGACAGATGAGGAAAGTGGAAGTTCAAAGAGATTATATTAGTTACTAAAGGTACTATTACTAATGAATGGGATGAAACTGTGCTAGTATTCACATCTCTGACATCTAGCCCATCTGCTATTCTTGTCATAATACTTCGCTATTTCATAGCTTCATAAAGTACCCTGAACAAAATGTCTCTTGGAAAAAACTAGAGATTTTCTTGCTCAGAAAAAGTAATTAAGATATATAGCCAATCCATATCCTAGTATGTGGGCAAAGTCCAAATGTGGATAAATTAAATTTATATTCAACTAACAGTTTCATGTAATTATCATTAGTTTTAATTTCATTTTCAATTTATAAATAATGCTAGATATAACAGCTTGAACTGCTTTGAGTTTTACCTGCTTTCTTTTCTTGTTCTGACCTCTGGTAGAATTTATATTAAGTATACTCATTTCCCAGATGTAGAAACATAAATAGTAGATAATCTCTAAAAGAATTTATGTGTGGCTCTGAAATTTCTTATAGGATTATTTTTCCCCTTAGAATTATTTTTCTAATTGGGTTTTACTTAACTTAAGCTAATATTAAAATGAAATTTCGATCCCTTACACCTTAATTGGGGGCACATAGGCCCAGAAAGTTATTTTTTAAAAATTTTCCCAAATAAGCATCATGAAGGTAAAGTAAAACACAGTCTAAACTGTAATTATTTTTATTCTTGTATTTATTACGAATGAGGAAAATGAGATAGAACCCTAAGGCACTATCCAATTTAATAAAAACTTAACATTCATATTTTTTCTAAACCCACTCATACCTGATTAAGGTACATTTGACTGAGAAAACACACATACAAAAGAACCGTATTGAAGCAGAACTTATATTTTGCAATCTGAAGCAGTGTAGCAGGGTGAAGAGATGTGGCTGGGCTTCACCCCCCTCCTGCCAGAGCTCCCTGCTGAACTTGCCCAGGTATGTCACCTTTTCAAGTCTCAATATCCTTGCTTACAAATTAAAGCATTACACTTAAGAAAGCAATACTGAGAATAAATCTCTACTCTGTACACAGTCAAAATGACTGTTTTTACTGTCAGCAAAAGTCCACACGACCGAAGTCAAATTAAAGCACGTAAATACCCAAATAACACATGAGAAGTAGTCACGTGTCACCACAAGAACCAGAGATTCAGGAAGCATGTGCATGCTTATCAGCAGTACGTATTACCAAGCTTGGGTCCACTTCTACTCCTCGGGATTCAAGGTTCTTTCGGACCGTAGTTATCTCGTCGCTCGCGAGATAGGCTGGGTGATCCTCGGTGCACTTCAACATCTTCTCCAATTCGTTCTTGGTTTCATTGTGGACAAACTTTAAATTGTTTCAAAGAGGACTTGTTTTATGGTTCATGACTTGGCACACTTACACAAAATTTTACTAAATATACTGCTATTGAACAATAGGGGACACGAGCTCCACACAAGCAACAAAAGAACATAATACGCTGGCTTATAAATACAGCACAACCGGCTCACAAAGGCAGGGTAAGCTGGACTCAGTGAGGCAAAAAAAAAAAAAAAGGCCTATTTGTTACATATTTTACTTTTGCTGAAATGTTTCATTGTCGAAGTTATAGTACCAGGTACCTTACTATATAGCTTCTTGACCTTAGGGTGGGATATCGCTCTAGGAAAAGGACCCTGAATACATGGGAAGAGATAATGATCTATAAATGCCTCGTATCTAAGAACTAGATGACTGTAAGGACTTGCACCTGCTGACATGTTTCTTTTCTGATAAATTAAATATGAAATTCATAGTTGGGATTTTTTTAAAAAAAGTATTTTCATTAAAAATTGTGCTTTAGATTGCTTTTGCAAGGTACCTATCATCCTCCCCTTTTAAGATTTTATTTTTATTTTATTTATTTATTTTAAAGATTTTTATTTATTTGAGAGAGAGCAAGCAAGCATGAGAGAGAAAAGCAGGAGAGAGAGAGAGCACAAGCAGGGGATGGGCAGAGAGAGAGGGAGAAGCAGACTCCCTGATGAGCAGGGAGCCCCATGTGGGGCTCCATCCCAGGACCTTGGGATCATGACCTGAGCCGAAGGCAGACACTTAACCGAGTCACCCAGGTACCCCTAATATTTTATTTTCAAGTAATCTCTATACCCAACTGGGGCTCGAGCTTAAAACCCTGAGATCAAGGGTAGCACCCTCTACCGACTGAGCCTGCTGGGTGCGCCAAGGTACCTATCATTCTTAAATATACTTCCAAACTCTTCTCTATAATTGTTCACAGTCTTATGACCAAAGGAGGAAAACATATACACACTAGTGATAAATTTGAAAATAAGACTCCTATACAGTATCAAATTACGTTTATCTTTTTTTTTCAATCCTTTCAAAATTGCATGGTAAAAGAAACTAGCTTCAAATTCACTGATTACTCTAAACAAGCTACTACCACAACACTTTGCCCCAAACTATAGCAAGCTACAGTATCTGAGTACTTATAGAAGAATAAAATGTAAATGTAAATAACTGGCTTATAAGTGAAACTACTAGTTAATATTCTCTGAAAACATGACACTTTAGAAGAGCTATTACTTAATGAAGAGAAATTTTACAGGTTCCTTAAACATCTGGTCTTGGTCTGAAGTAAGAAGGAAATCTCTAAGTTAGAGGATATTCCCCAACTCTTCTCCTGTTTTCACTTGTCTGTCTACCCGTCCCCTGACCACACTGGGTCTTCAGGAGAACACTACTCTCCCATCCATCCTGAACAAGATCTCCACAGTTCAGCTCAGACAAGGTGAGAATGTTTCAAAGGGATGGATTTTTCTCTAGAAAACTAAGGAAAATATAACAATATAAAAGCACAAAATAGTTTTCAGAGCATAGACTTCTTATCTTTAACACAGGACAGTCTTAAATTTCTTTTCCTACTAAATCAGTCATTCAAAAAGACAAAGAATTGTTACACAGTCATCTAAACTTGCAGTGTGAGATATGGGGATAATCTCAACCTCTTCCAGAATCTGTTTCTCACAGTAACCTCTAGGAATGAGGTCTAGAATAGTGGTTTTCAACAGGGAGCAGGAGGGATAAAAAGGTTAGAGAATGAGAACTTGATTCAGTGAGTCTGACAGGAGGGGCTTTCTTTTGAAACAGAAAATGAAACATAACACATTCAAACACTTCCCTAGGCGGTCCTGATGTCCCTCCCCCTATATTCCCAATTATGGCCTCTGTTCTATAGTCAGTCTGGGTCTTACACATGCTGCCCTGAAATCCTGAGAAGGCTCTTCTCTGAAGGGTTTCAACAGTCCTCTCCTAGGCCACAGATCCTTGCATTTATCCTAAAACTAATTCCTCTACTTCTCTTGCAGGCATCCCGTATGGGTTCAAATTCCTGAGAAAATAACTTACAACTAAGAATTATTTCTCTCTGAGAGTGTTTGACCAAAGCATATTTGCCACTAGTTGCTGAGGCAAGTTGCCATCTTTGATTATTCTGGAAACTTTAGGTCTAATTTCCCTTAAGCCATGATGGTCTGAAACCATTTTTCTTCCAAGTTTATCTGCCTCATGCCAGTTCTTTTCAATCAATTCTTCTTCTAGTCTTAAAATCGGAAACCTCTGATGGATCTCCTAGAAATTCTTTTCTGACAGACTTCGTCCTCTCATCCCATGTGTCGTGAGAGATAACTGATGCTCCCTGAAAACACACATGATCCAACCACTAACTCTGTCCACTCCCTCAGCTTCTCTCCAGTCTCTTAACGACTCATTTTTCCACAAGAATCCTATCAAAAAAAAGAGAAGAGGAAGACTGTCCCTTCACTTTTTTAAAGACAAACTGGAATTCACATCTGATAGCTTATGAAACAAAAAATGCATGAAATTAAAAAAAGATCTACCTATATCTCTACATGTATATATAGGGTGTTGATTATATAACTTAATTCTGTATTTAAGATGAAAAGAAAAAAAAAGAAAACAGGAATGACATGACCTTTGATAATTTTCCATTTTTTAAATTTTTTCTCTTGATATTTCTGTATCTTGGTCTCCTTTCTCTAACTACACGGATTCAAAGACAAAAGGAAAGAAGGGAGATTGGATTCCACCTCTTTTTCTTATTCATTACTTCCTTCACTTATGTATTTTGGTTCTATATCCTGTTTTCTCGCTTCTGTTTAAGAAATGAACATAAGAATGAGATGTGGTGTAAAAAGAGAAGCCGTAACAATAAGGAATAAAAAGATGATAGGACATGGGGACTTGAATGATCTGTACATCTTTCCTGTATTCATTTGTCAAGTTATTTATACTTGCCTTTACCATTTTGTTCTACTGAAGTGCTCATTAAATATTTATTGAATGAATAAATTCTATAGTTCTACTTCCTATCTGAATTTTTATACCTATTGTGGGAACACAACAGCAAACTAACAGAAAAATCCAGAGGTAACAACAGATGAGGTAAAAAAAAAGTCACTATTGGGGCGCCTGGGTGGCTCAGTTGGTTAAGTGACTGCCTTCGGCTCAGGTCATGATCCCAGGGTCCTGGGATCGAGTCCCACATCGGGCTCCCGGCTCAGCGGGGAGCCTGCTTCTCCCTCTGACCCTCTCCTCTCTCATGCTGTTTCTCTCTCGCTCGCTCTCTAATAAATAAATAAATAAAATCTTAAAAAAAAAAAGTCACTATAAGCTTTTATTCTAATCACTTTCACTCTACATCCTTTAAATTCTTGTCATTTTTTATTTCTGTTCATAACTTTAATTTTCACTTTACCTCAAATAGGGAATTGAAATGAACAAAGTAATCTACCACAAAAGGGGCATGGCTCATTTCCTCTTCCTTTTAATAACACAGCTACTTCACTTAAAAAACAAAAACAAAAAAACCCAAAAAACCAACTTTCTTTTGTAGTTTTCTATTTATTCTAAAGATTCATTATATTTTAGAAAGGCTGATAAAAAACATTTGAAATTATTAAGCTTGGACTGGAGGCATGCAAAACTTGTATTTAATGCTTGAATTAAAATAAACAAAATTATATCATAACACAGAGATTTGTCCTTACCTGTTCTTGGGTCCGGTTCTTCCAGTATAACCACCTCTTTTTCCAATCTGGACCTATCATGTTTTCAATTGTGTTTTCAGCTAGAAAAATTAAAAAAAAATTTAATTCATCAAGAAATGTTATCAGTTACCAAGTTCATAAATTGTAACTAATAATAATAGTTTTGTTTTCTTAACTATTTCAAACTGCTATATCAATATAAAGTCAGTTGAAATAAATAAAAAGACTAGATGATGGTTACGGTACATATATAGGAAATTTATTTTAATTATATATGTTTACAATCTATGAAAGGTACAACTGCTTGTAAAGTTCCTGTAAGTATAGAGGCAAGCACTAAAATAGTCTTCAATTATAGTTTTTTAGAATGTAAGTACATATAAACATGTGTCCAGTTTATTTAGTATTTTCAGTAGCTACTAAGCAGTTGACTGAAAAATCTCACAAAAAATATTACTATAGTATTAATGACAAAGACTATAAAATGTTTGTTTCATTTATTTTTTAAAAGCTTTTTTTTTTTTTAACAAATGTTCATCAAGTTGGATAACTCCTTCACCACTGGGAATACTCAAAACTCAATAACCTGTGTCCCTACTTACTATCCTTGAGACGAGCTTGAAGAGCTTCTTCCATAAAATAAATAGCTGCATCCCACTGCTGTTTATCAGATATGGAACGGTCTTCTAAAGCATTGTGCTGAATAACCCTCTGAAATAAGGAAAGAAAAATAGCTAATTTGATTTATGCCTTATCATCTTGATAATTTTATTCAAATAGACAGCTTATCAAATACACAAAATAGATGCACCTAAACATAAAAGTATGTCGCTCCCATGCAAATGCAGGAGGCCCTATTATCTGCTATTGTCAGCTTTCTCCCAAAAGAATGAACAGTGAAGATTTTTTCCTATACCAAATTAAATGAGCTATGTCTAAGATAGAGAGAGGCATATTATACATGTAACTACATAAAATCTGCACCTAGAACCCTAGTACTCAGGAGTTAATGATTCAGATCTTCACTACCTCTCCTTTTTGCCATATGATCTGTGTGTCTGCATTCTTAGAAAAGAGGACAACAACAACCACTGTCTCACTGTTAACATCAATGAAAAGTATAAAAGAGAGAAGCTTAAAAGGTCTGGACAGTTATAAGCAAATGTGAGTTATTTATTATAAGAACTGATTTCTAAATTTTATAATTTTTGAATGAATGAACGAAAAAAGACACTTATCGAAGGCAGCTAGTCTTAATAAGGTATTTAACAAGAATGAATATAGTTTTCGGGGCGCCTGGGTGGTTCAGTTGGTTAAGCGGCTGCCTTCGGCTCAGGTTATGATCCCAGGGTCCTGGGATCGAGCCCCGCATCAGGCTCCTTGCTCAGTAGAGAGCGTGCTTCTCTCTCTCCTTCTGCCTGCCTGCTCCCCCTGCTTGTGCTCTCTCTCTCTGTGCCAAATAAATAAAATCTTTAAAAAAAAAAAAAAGGATGAATATAGTTTTCAAACATGAAGACAAAACACTTGTTTAAAAATTAATTATAATTACAACCAGCCTCCAGTGAGATATGCATTTTCCTAGAAAACTGTCCTATCTTATCTTTCAAGGGTGCCTCCTTGGAACTGTCTGAGCAGAGCAGGTGCTTAACAAGGTTTATGGTGATGCAAACGTTCTACATAACAAAAGATCTGTTGGAGGTGGAGCATTTGGTGAAGGTCAAGAGCCAGGCTTTGTAATTAGAGCAGGGCTTGAGTCTGAGCTTTGCCAAGGACAATAATAGGACTGCTTAAGAACTAAATAAAATAGTACTTACAAAATATATTGTAGAGTTTCTGGCACCTTTTAAGCATTCAACATGTGGTATTTAGCATTATTTCAGGAATCTAATATTTTATGACTCAAATCCACTGAAAAGCAATGCATCTAATTCCTTTCATTACCACCAAGGGTAAAAATGAGAAGCAGCTATCTGAGCCATCTGTGGTTCAGGCCCATGTAATGGCTAGTGGACAACAATTTGTGGAAGTTTATAGAAGCCTGTTTACTGCGAAGTTTCAGAGAAAAGTTTTCCTAGAAAACTTTTTTTTCTCTGAAATGACAGCCCTGGAAGAAATAGTAGAGAACCGTTAAAGGGCTGATTACAGATAGTTAAACTATTTCTTTCCTTCATTATTTTAAATTCAGAACCCAACTGAAATGGTCATATAAAAACAACTTCCTATAAAAAGGGTATCAATTTGAGAAATTGTATAAAACTGTGAGGCTGACACTGTAATATACAAATGATGTACCAAGCTGTCCTCTGCAAAATCATTCCACTTGTGGCGTTTAATACTTTCTTCCTTAACAGCCTCTTTAAGTTTATCAAATATGTCATCATGCTCTTTCCCTTTTGGTTCTGTCATGAAGCGGGAAAATTCTTCTTGTAGGGTCTCCCAAGCAACCTAGATTTAAAAGAAAAAAAGCTGTATTCATACTACTTATTTTAATATGTAACATGACAAACACGTGAAGTTAAGCCAAATAGATGTAGTAAGTTAGCTTATCACAAAATACATATTGAAACCACATTTTTTTTTTTTTTTTAAAGAAGGCAGCAAATACAAACTCTGGCCTAGAGATCTCACACTGGTAGCTGGTGGGATAGATCTGGCGTCCTGACATGTTTTGCTAGACATACACAGTGTTTTAAATTTTACAAAATTAGTAGCCAACACTAAAAACAGACTTCATATAAAACCTGTGTTTCCAGCCTCTCTTGAACTATCTGGCAGCACAGTACCCGCATTCCTATATACCACCAACTGGAACTGAACAGGGGCCGCCCCCTTGAGATAGGTTTGCACTCCAATCAGCCACCACACTTAGTGCACTTATTTATTGAGATAGGTTTGCACTCCAATCAGCCACCACACTTAGTGCACAGGAAGAGTTTGCCTGCTTCTTCCATACTGTAGAAAGTTTAAAATGTCATAATGATTTAGTCTTCTTCACATCTTTGTGAAGATCTAATCTTCTTCACATCTTTGCCTTTATGCAAATATATGAAGCAATGCATCAATACCTTCAATCATATTGAGTATTACTTATACTGAGTATTCAATATAAGTAATATTCAACCTATATTACAGCTAACTCGTAATTACCTGGCCAGTGAAAGAAGAGCATAGTGTTAAAAGTAAGAAATAAATCTACTTATGATTAAGTGGGCTAGTTAATGTTGTATTTTTTATTTAGCCCTCCTCATTTTAAACCATGGCATAAACAATGTGACTGTCCAAGAATACCCAGCGAGGTATTAGAATCTGTTTCCCGACCCTTCAGCAGATCCACAGCTTTCTGCCACACCCAGGCATGAAGGGAGAAAGCAGCAGGAAACAGAATGACCACTTCCCTGCTGAGCCTTAGGATGTGACAATATCCTACCATGGGACCGGGCCAGCTGTGAAAAGAGCTAGTGGAGTGGCGGCGGCAGCCCTCTAGTCATTTTAGGGGTCAATGTGTCGAGAACTGACAGGGGTCAGCTGTATGCAGCTTTGGCAGAACAGCTGTCAGTTCTTAGAAGTTTGAAGGAGCTGAGAAAAGAGGTGAAGCCAGGAGTGAAGGACAGGAAAGGGGGAAACACACCCAAATAATTAAAAATTAGCTGACATTTTCTTTTTCAGGTAATGAGAAATAAAATTATCTTTAACACCAAGTCTAACTTTGTGAGCAACCTCACACAGAAGGACAGGACACGCTGAGTCTTTGCTAGAATAATCATTCTTCAGAGTAATGCGTATGGCAGATCAACTTAGATGATGGTCATCATCCTAACAGCAGATGGCACTTACTGTGCAGTTACTGTGAGCCACTTATGTTTAAATATTTTACATATTACATCCATTTACATATTCATTTAGTCCTTAGAACAATCTGTGAGGCAGGCAATATTATCATCCCTAACGTACAGACAAATAAACAGAAAGCTGAAGCAGCTAGTCCAAGAGTCACATAGCTACTAAGTGGTTGAGACCACGTGTAACAGAAAAGCATTCTTCAAGGTACTTTCTTATAATTCCTAGTCTAACCTTCTGGCAGGATCCTAACTAAGGAAATGATTATTTAAGTGTAACTGAGCTCTGTAGAAAATCAATAAATGAAATGTTTTATTCATTAAACATTTTCCTTATGGAATCCTTATCCACAGAAAAAGCTAAAAACATCTCACATTCAAGCAAATTCTGCTGGTTTTGTTACATGCTATCTTTGCAATAGAACCAATATCCTCAGACCAGCAGCATACCAATTAGTAAATTTTTATAATGGTAGTCAAGGTAGTAGCATTAAGGTTAATCCCAACACAGAGATGAGGAGTAAAGAATAAATGGAGCATAAGGACCCATTAGGAGAGACAGCGGCTGTGATGGGAATAAAACCTAAAATTCACAGCTCCTACTCCCTTCAGATAATGCTTCTTACCCATTTAATTAAATTATATCCTAACCTCTACTGCTTTATTAGGAAGCTGTTTATCAGTCCACTGTTTAAGCTTGATATCCACTGTCGTATTAAAAGTCCCTGAATTCATGGTCTGTGCAGCTGGAAGATAGATGTTTTCAATCACATGAGTTGACACTCTTTCCCACAAAGACTGCTGAAGGATTTCTTCCCTGAAATTAAAAAAAAAAAAAAGTTTCAAAAACACCGAATTTAAATATAATAGTTTTTAAAAACAGCTTTATTGAAGTAATATCCACTTACAATAAATTGCACATATTTAAAGCTTTGACATATGAATACACCTGTGTGCATCACCACAATCAAGATAATGAACTTACCCATCATCTCCAAAAGTTCTAACCATCGGATCTGCTTTGTTACAAGAGATTAGCTTATATTTTCTAGAATTGCATATAAATGCAATCATACAGTATCATCTTTTGTCTGTCTTCTTTCACTCAGCATATTTTGAGATTCAACCATATTGTTGTGTATATCCATGTTTCACTTCTTTTTATTGCTGAGTAGTATTCCACTATATGAATCTATTTATCTATTTACCTGCTAATGGACATCTGGGCTGCTTCCCATTATTAGTTATTCTAAATAAAGCTGCTATGAGCATTCACTGTATGGACATACACTGTTGCTCCTCTTGGGTAAAATATCTAGGGCTGGAATAGCTGTATCATATGGCAATTATATAAATAACTTTCTATGGTACTGCCAAACAGTTTTTCAAAATGGCTGAACTATTTTACATTCTCACCGGCACAGGATGAGAGTTCTAGATGCTCTACATCTTGCCAACATTTGATATGGTTAGTCATTCTGCCAGGTTTACAGTGGTATCTCATTGTGGTTTTCATTTGCATTTCCCTAATGACTAATACTTCTGAGCGTCTTTTCATGTGCTTATTTGCCTCATATTAATACATACTTTTTATGTACTGACTGTGAAGTGGAGTCCAAGTCTGAGAACTTGTTGGTATAATTTTAACAATTTATCAGACCACAGCACAAAGCACAAAGATGTTATGGGATATTGCTAGGTAAAACTGTCCAACACATCATGATAAATAAAGGTAACAAGATAAAAGATGGATAATCAAGTTGAGAATCCTTCCTGCTTTAAAGACATCTCAGAAGAACACAGATCTCTAAACAAGAAAAAGACAACTATTTCAATCAAGAAAAAAAACTGAACTCTCAAGAAAATTTTTATTTGGCTTCTCCCAAACTAATTTCTACTGTAAGATAATACTATAACATACAAAAACATTCTGCTTGCCAAAAGTGGTCAGTTTTAAGAGTAACTTCACCCCTCTACTACACAGCCATAAAGCTCAGGGTAGCAGAAACAGCTGTCGAAAGGCCAAGCTGCAATTTTCTTGGTTGAGCAGTGTCAACATTCCCTTCTATCCAAAACTCCTCATACTTACTCAACATCTTGTGTGAAATCAAGTATACTGAGTCAATGAGCTTAGCTGCTGGTTTCCCCTTGCTAACTTTCGGGTCTTTTTTCGGTGACAACCAGAACACCAAAGAGCGTGAGGTAAGGATACAAGACCAGAAGGACACAGTCAATTTAGTCATGCTGTTAATGACAGATAATGACAGGGGGAGATTTAGGAGCAAGCTGGAAGAAAAGAAGCTTCTCAGGGTCTCCTATTCAGATATAATTTTAAACACAAATTCAAGATTTTGAAAGATGAACAAAAGGCCAGGATCCAGCCTCTGACCATCAAGCTTTCTGCTGCTCCTGCCTCAGAACAGACTTGGCCTGTTATCTCTTCCTCAGAGTCTGGACATCCCAGACACCCTTTCAAGGAGATAATAACAAAATCCCGGACCATCAAATCCTGACAAGCCTAAGGTAACTTCCTCACAGGAGGCTGTTTTCCAGTCCACCACAGGTAGCTGCTGTCACCGATCCTCACCCCACCTTCCTTGCGCCTTTTCACCACCAAGCTGCTGTCCTGTCCACACTCCCCCTGCTCCCCTTCATCATAATCATGTTCAGTGTGCCCCCAATACACTGGAACAAACAAACCACTTTACATTCTCACTCTTTCCCCTTTCCTTACATCCTCAAACCCTTCGTGGCTCTCCCTTCCAGACAGTGGTTGACCTTATAATTCTGCTGACCGGAAGGTGCTCAGAGTTAGGAAGTGGAAGCTGTGTTCTCCTCACCCCACAATCTCTCTTCCAGACCATTAGTCCTCAACTCTCATGCAAAAATCCCTGTGGGCTGAGGCCAGCGTATATGCTTACACCATCTGCCACCCTGACGTGCACCCTTACTTACATTTCCTAGCATATGTTATGTGACTATAGACTTCTCTATCCTAAATTTTGCCATCATCTAGGGATAATTCCACAAATACACAAAATACAATTAACACTATAGTTCTACGTATTCCTCTCGTTATCTCCAGGAACTTTACCTCCATTTTTACTCCACTCTAATGAAAACATTTTTCAAAATGGAAATTTCTTGTTTTAAAGCAGAGGACTCACTCTATATAGTAATTTCAACCAATACAGAAAATGTAAGAAGTCCTCCATAATTCCTCTTTCAGTAGTACAATCACTATTCAGCTTAATTTATCAATAAAAACATTGAATCCTTGAATAAATATTTGTGTGTTTACATATTACACAGACTGTTTTATAAATACTTTTTATTTTTTATTTATTTATTTTTTAAAGATTTATTTGACAGAGAGAGACACAGCTAGAGAGGGAACACAAGCAGTGGGAGTGGGAGAGGGAGAAGCAGGCTTCCCACTGAGCAGGGAGCCCGATGCCAGGCTCGATCCCAGGACTCTGAGATCATGACCTGAGCCGAAGGCAGATGCTTAAAAACTGAGCCACCCAGGCGCCCCTATAAATACTTTTTAAAAGTTAAAAGCATGTTATACAGTTTTCCATGTTATACATTTCCATTCCATGGGCACCACAGTAACCCACTCTATGAATAAATCAAATATATTAATTCCAAATAGAAAACATAAGGTTTCAATTTTTTTACACTTATACACAAAACAATGGTGAAGATTCTTATGTGTTCATCTCTGTCAAATATATCTTCATTCCTACAAATTCACAGCAATGTAATTACTGGATAAAAATGTACTCACTGTTTAACTGACTTCTCCATTACCTATACATCCAATCACTAAATCCTGTCAATTCTATCTTCTAGGTAACTTCTCAGACATTTCAAAACTGTTTCCTCTTCTCCATCTGCACAACCACTATTCAAGTTCCAGCCACCATCACCTCTCATCTACATAATTTCAACAGCCAACTGCCTCTTTACTCACTGCCCCGTTCTTCATAGCATTCCACTTTCCCTACTACAAAGATCATTCTAAAATAAAATGCAAATCTGCCCTAAAGTTATTCAGTGGCCCTCAGTGCTCATGGGATAAATTCCAAGCTTCTGAACATGGCTTGCATGGCCCTTGATAATCTATATCTTGTTTGTATCTACTGTTTTATCTCCTGCCACTTGCCTCCTTCTATGCTAAAGCCATAGGTAACAGTCTTCAGCTACCTTTACCACTTTGCTTGCTCTCACCTCCTGGGCTCTGCAATTTTCCTATCACTGCCTTCACCTAACACCTTTTACCCTTTAAATCTAGGATTATGATATCAGAAATCTTTTTTAATTCCTCAACTCTGAGTTAGGGTACTCAACTGTGCATTCCCATTTTCCTTTCACTCTTTTAACAAAATAAACTTAATACTTTTAACCAAAAGTTACATGCGCACCATCATACCATTTTTTAAAAAGTGAATTTCCATCAATACAGTCAGCTATCCTTCTAAATGACATATAAAAAGGAGACAAATCTGTAATAACGGTCACATAATGTTAATGGTATACCAATATCTCCTGCTTAATGTTAGTAATCAATTCCTGATAATCAGGTATATTATGTGAAATCGCTGAGAGCCTATTTCTGCCTAAATGCATCATATGTCAAATATAAACCCCCAACAACTTTCTTAAAATATAGTTACAGTAGAGTAGAACACCTGTAAGCAAATTATAAACTATCACATTTAGGACATAAAATACTTGTAACCCTCCTTCCAGATCACCAAGTATAGATCAAGTAGTCCTGGCAATTAAATAATTAATATCTTAGTCACCCTAAAATATCACATAAAGCATATGCAACACACACACACAAAAAATACTTAAGACAATAACAACTACATCACAAAAATAAAATGTTTTGGGTACAATGCAGTTGAATTCAGTGTGGTATGAACAGTTATAATTAGGACCTGCTATTTTGATCTACATTTGTGTTAAGCTATAGAGCCTGGAAAAAAAAAAAGCCGACGAAAAGATACAGACATCTGATCCATCAGCTCACAGAATAAACCTCTAGCAGCTAGATGTCCTACTTCTTTCCCTTGACTTCTCAATAGGCAGCCTCGAAATACAGGCTTCTCATCCCTTCACAATTCCCTTCAGCCACCTGCATGTTACATAAATGACATCTATCTTCATTGCTCACTTTAGTGCAGGTATATTTTGATTTCTGACTGCTCTGCCCAAACAAAACTACCCATTTCATTTGATGATGCCAGGAATTTACAGACGCACCATATTTTTCTCCCATAGACAGCATTAGTTATAATAGTTATAAATCACTTTTCATGTACATTATCCTCATACAACCTAGTATGACAAGTAGTATTCATTCTTTGTGTGCACATGTGTGCACAGGGGTGTGTGTGTGTGTGTTCACACACTATCTTTTGCAATTTCAAAAGCTAATTGGCTTACAGAAAGCCATAGAACTGGCTTAAAATACAAATAATAACAAAGATAAGCTGGGTTGTATATATACCTGATTAATCAATCAACAAAATAGATAAGATCAGAATCCTTTTGGGGATAAGGAGAGGAGACTGAAAATAGGCAAATTTTGGCTCCCTGAAGAGGAAGAAAGGACACTCAGGGGGGAAACTAACAATACTAAATAAACTAACAATACTGAATACTGAGTTCAAATTTAAGGACTGGACACTATTCTCTAGGCTCAATTTGGATCATCTTAAACTGAGCAAACAGAAGAACAGAAAATATTTAGTTCTAGTCCAAGAATGATAAATTTTTAAAAACACTATAGATTTCATTAGAAAGATAATTTATGCACAAGGAATTTGTTCATTAAAATATGATTGCAAAAAAAATCAAGGCTATTTATACATATCTTGCTTGAGTTACACAGAACCTATTTTGGTTTCAGTGCCAACAAATTTAAGGGTGCCAAAATTCATTTAAACATAAATAGAAGGTGATAGTTTGCCCTGAAAGAGATTTGCATGACTATTTTTCAAAAGGATGACTTTACCTCCTATTTTAAAAAAATCTCCAATAAAATTCAACTTGAAATAAGATTTGTACAAAACATGAGGCACATATTACAAAAAGTACCAATTGTTCTTACTCAGAAATGAGAACTTGAAAATATATACTCCTTTCCCTTTACAAATTAATTTTCTCTATGGTTTTGTTCTCTGTGATTAATCTAACAAGAGCAACTAGCTTTTTAAAATTTATTTTTTTAATTTAAATTAATTAACATATAGTGTATTATGAGTTTCAGAGATAGAGGTCAGTGATCATCAGTCTTCTATAATACCCAATGCTCATTAACATCACGTGCCCTCCTTCATGCCCATTACCCTGTTACCCCATCCCGCCATCCACCACCCTCCCTCCAGCAACCCTCAGTTTGTTTCCTATGATTAAGAGTCTCTTATGGTTTGTCTCCCTCCCTGATTTCGTCTTTATTTTTCCCTCCCTTCCCCCATAAGAGCAACCAGTTTTGATAGACTGATCTTTATCTAAAACACAACTTGATGAAACTTTTGCCTAAATGACTTGACAGAAATCAAAATTATATACAAGGTAAAGAAAGCCTAAGACAAATTAAGATTTAAAAAGACCATGGAGAAAGCAATTTTTCAGAATATCTCTTCTGAAAGATATTAAATACATAATTTATTGTACTTAAATACTTAATTAGACTACAATACTGGTTAGATTTTGCAAAAAGAAATACTTTTATGCTATTGCCTATTTACTGTTTTGGGGGATGAGCCAAGGCTACAATAAATCACGGCTTTATCAATCTAAATTTTAGTATCTCATTATAATCCATATAGTAAAATCTTTGAGAAAAGGTCAAATACTCACCAATGTTTTGGTGTAACCTGGCTCAGACTGATAACTTCATCGAGGATTTCATTTTTAGCTTTTTCAAATAGTTCGTTCTAGGTAATATAGATACAAGTAAGATTTTCATAACATCAATCTGCCCTGCCATGAGTTTTAGATATCACTAAAAAGAAGGCCTCTGACATGCTAGTAGGTTGAACTTATGTCTGAAGCATGCATAAACCAGCAAATAATGTTCTTCTCTCCTACCCTCTTTTTTAGGAATACCAGTAGCCAGATAAGGACAAAGACACTGACACAGATGTCTACCTTATTCACTCAATTCTGAGTGTAGTTTTTCATGTAACAAATGTTACATGAAAATATTAATACATATTAATTTAGTCTATTAGCATTAATAAACCGATGCTGTGTTTTACAACAGATGGCATTTTAAAAATCAAAGAAAACCAATATTTAAGTCCCACTAAATTAGAGTATATTTCTCCACAGTAAATGTTGAAAAGGTAAAAAAGTTGATGTATAATTTTAAAAAAGTTTACATTACATAAATATATTAATTCTATTAAATGTTTCTCACTTTTTCAGAAAACATTTTTAAACAATTCCTTTAGCATCTTATGATCTATAATTATTTTTTAATATTATGTCCCAAATAATTTAAATTATTGTAGAAGAGATAACTGCACTCTTGCAGTTATACAGAGAACTATATTCTTGCAGCTCTAAATTAGTAATCCTATGGTCAAAATCAAAGCAGTTTGGCTTACCAGATTTTGCTTGTCAACATAAATTCTGTTAGAGCACCATATTAAACAAGACATATGCGAAACACATGAGGCACACAAACATTACCCGGTCAAGTTCTCGCAGGCGAGGATAGTTATTCTTCCACTCAGTTTCAAGGTTAAAACGTGTTGCTGAGGAAGAAGGACAGATGTTCCAGTTTCAGGATTCTCTTTCTACCCAGCTGTGGTGGTTACAGGTGATCACACATCTCTCTGTACTAACTGAATTTCTGAGTGTGCATCGATGGCTCCTGAGTATCCTGGCTCTCAACATCTCAGAATCTCACTATTGCAACAGCTTTCCAAACCAATCTTCTTGACTTGTTTCTCCATCTTCAATCCACATAACACAGAGCTGAAATAGCTTAGTACAGCTGCTAAAGGCATGGACTTTGGAATCACATCACCAGGATTCAAATCCTGGGTCTATTATCTATTGTGTGTGATGCTGGGTGCATCACTTAGGTGAGTTAACTCTGGTGCCCCACTTTCCCCTTCTGTAGAATGGGAACAATAACAATACTCACAGGGTTGCTGAGGGACTAAGCACGTAGAATTCCCAAGTGGGAAAAGGGAAGGAAAGTATACTCTCAGTCAAATGCAACTATGGAAGCAAAGCCACAGAGCAGGAAAGTGTGGGATTCAGGAACTAGGACAAAATAGCTGAAGCCCAGGCTGCTCTGCCTTCCAACACCACTCCTCTCTTCCCCCTGAAATGGGGGAATCTGAGTCCCGTCTAGTTTACTAAGTTTTCTCCCAAACACTACTGCAAACTTGCTACTCTGTTTAATCTGCAAAGTGCTCCTTGCGATGTTTCCTCTGAAGGAGAAAGTGTTCTTGAACAACAACTGGAAATTTGTATTTTTTCCGTTTTCCACATACTAATAGAAAATGAACTAAAAAGCAACTGTTCAGGGAATAAAGAATCTGCTGGATACCTAAGACTGCCAACTAATAAAATGTCTGAAGTTGTTAGCTTATTTTATTTTTTTAAGATTTTATTTATTTAAGAGAGAGAGAGCATGAGAAGGGGGAGGGTCAGAGGGAGAAGCAGACTCCCTGCCGAGCAGGGAGCCTGATGCGGGACTCGATCCCGGGTCTCCAGGATCATGACCTGAGCCGAAGGCAGTCGCTTAACCAACTGAGCCATCCAGGCGCCCTGAAGTTGTTAGCTTATTTTAAAAAGACAACTTACCTTTGAAACTATCAGCCTGTTGCTCAACTGACTCTCGTACCATTTTCCAAAAGCAGTCTGAAACAGCAAGGCTTAAATTTCTTGTAGTCACCTGGTGTGCCTTTAGCATGCTTGTCCTATTAAAAAATAACAAGAGCTACGGTACATAAAAATGGCAAAAAGGACAACACTCTCACCACGTTTGAAAATGTGCTTGTTATAAGAGAAGAGTCACTCATATTTTGTACCAGCGCTGTTCAATAAAACCTGTGATGCGGAAAACGACCTCTATCTGAGCTATCCAACATGGTAGCTACTAGCCCCTTGAGGTATTTGAGCCCTTGGAATGTATGGCTGGTGTGACTGAGGAACAGAAGTTTAAATTTCTTTCAAGTTAACTAATTCAAATTCAAGTAACCACCGGAGGCTAGTGCCTATCATGTTGGACAGGTAAGTTCCATATGACTGTCAGCTCCTCCCCACAGAATATACTCAAGACCATGTTTGCACGAGCTATCTTGATTTACTATACTAATACAGATGCAAACATACCTTGCCATTTTAAGAGCTTCTATATATAAGGTTTTAATATAATTCAGTTGTCCTTTAGCTCTTCCTTTTTGCTTTTCTGTCAGGATCTTATTTTCTGTTAATTTCTGTCAATATCTATTTAGGGATACCCCTTTGACAACCCCACCCTCCACTCCAACTTTCCCCAATACTGAAGAGAACCAAATACAGGTATTCACAACATAACTGTTGAGGGAAATTGGCTGGCTCAGTTGGTAGAGCATGCAACTTTTTTCTTTTTTTAAGATTTTATTTATTTAGGAGTGCTTGGGTGGCTCAGTTGTTTAACCATCTGACTCTTGGTTTCAGCTCAGGTCATGATCTTGGGGTCATGAGATCAAGCCCCACGTTGGGCTCCGCGCATAGCACAGAGTCTGCTTGTCCCTTTCCCTTTGCTCCTCCCCCCGCCTGCCCACTTTTCTCAAATAAGTAAATAAATAAAATCTTAAAACAATAAAAAAAGATTTTATTTATTTATTTATTTGAGAGAGAGAGCTCATGGGAGCAAGCTGGGGGGATAGGCAGAGGGAGAGACAGAGAGAATCTCAAGCAGATTCCCCACTAAGTGCAGAGCCCAATGTAGGGCTCAATCCCACAACCCTGAGATCATGACCTGAGCCAAAATCTAGAGGTGGATGCTGTACTGACTGAACCACCCAGGCACTCTGGTAGAGCGCGAATCTTGTTGTGAGTTTGATACCCACGTCAGGGGTAGAGTTTACTTAAAATATAAATAAATAAATAAAGTAAAATACCAGAAGGATGGGTTTCTTTAAAAGATAAACAAATAAAAATGTAAGCGTTGATTTTTAAATATTATTTCATAAGTAAAACAACAAAGGAGGTGTCCGTGTTGTCTTTCAGTGCCCACAGCCCGAGGGGCAGTTTTTTACACCAGCATGTATTATACCAGTGATAAGATGCTCCTAATTCTGAGTAGCTTGAGGACTTGCCTATTAGATACAGATCACTATTTCGGAAAAATGCTGGAAATTCAATGTTAAACTAGCAGCTATAAAACAAACTTTTAAGTGAAAACAGTTTAAGCTACTCCCTCACTACAAAAATCTTCAAATAGTTAAACCATATACCTACTTCAGGAGTTTTGAATTTTCAAAAAATTCTTCTTCATATTCTCTTATAGCTTCAATGCTTTCAGAGCTGTTTCCTAGGGAAAGATGTTGGAGGTCTAAGAAAATTAATCTTATTTGAAAACAACAAAAACTTAAATTATGATAATCCATCTTTGCATACCTTTTCCTGTTACAACAGCAAAATAACCCAGAGCTTTCATTGGGAAGAGTTTTCCTTCAATAATCTGCTGAATCTATTTTTAAAAGTGGGAAATAAATGTGAGATGTAGGTTTATATAATTTTTTTAAAGCACAACATACTATGCAGAAAGAAAATTTAATAATGCTGCATATATATATTCAGTCAAATATATAAATCTGTACAAAAGTATTAAAATGTTTTTTAATCACTACTTGAGGGGAAAAATGATTATATTTAATTTTACTACACTAAAAGATGCATTATTAAGACCTAAGATGCATTATTAAAACTTGGAATGATGTGCAGTGCTTTGGGGTCAGGCCTCAGTTTAATTTCAGCTCCACCACTTACTAGCTATAAGGCCTTAAGAAGCTACTTACTTTTTTTCAAAATGACTGTTGAGAAGATTCTCTGAGGCACTACGATACGAACCACAGTGCCAGGCACACAGAGGCACTCGGTAATGGCAGCTGTGATGATTATTTCCCCATACTCTTCTTCAAATAGATAAATTCTAACCAAGTTGGACTGTCTTATCTTACTCTACTTTTAAAAATATTGGGATCCACTGGCTCTCATCTCTTTTAGGGTCAAAAACCCTTTTCTAAATGGAATAAAAACCAGAGACTCGTCCCCAGAAAAATGCATATTTGCATAGAGAGCTATCATTCACAGTTTAAGAGTTCCTGCTCCCAGAAGCCCGTTCACATTAATACTGCAGTAAAAATCCCTTCTCTAAGACAAGTTACACCCCTGAGCTAATGCTGACTCTTTGGTATAAAAAAGGATTGATACAAATTTCAATTGCATTTCAGAAGAAATATAAACTCACTATCCTAGAGAAGAGGGGAAAGGAATGAGAGAAATGAAGGGATGTGGGAAGGAGGTACAGAATTCCCTTCGACCTTGTTTCTCCCTGTCTCCAAACCAGGTCCAATACCACCATAGCAGGCACACACCCCCCTACCCCGCCCCCCAGTACAGCAAAGTAAAGGTCAGGGAAGCTGTGCAGAGAAGAGTTAACATAGCAGCCTGAGACTGCTGTCCTTAGAAAGGCCTGCTCGCCTTTCACTGGCATCTGAGGACCTCATTGGTAAACAATCCCCACATTGATACAAAACTTTCCCCGCATAACAGTGGCTCATTGTGTGAGTAATGTGGTTTCTGCTGAACATCTGCTTTCCTTTGGGTGTCTGGAATTTTGGTACTTGAGGGTGCCTACATGAACAGCCCCCAGTAAAAACCTTAGGTGTTGAGTCTCTCATGAGAAACTTGTTGCTGTAGGGATTAAGTGCTTCCTGCAGGACTCTACTGGGAGAGGGCTCTGGGAAACCTGAGCCTGGTTTCCTCCAGATATCATCTCTTGTACTTTTGCCTTTTGTGATTCTGCTTTGTATCCAATCACTGTTAACAGATGTTAGGTGTAAGGATGACTATGTGCTGAGTCCTGTGAGTCCCTCTACGGAATCGGTGAACTTTGGGGTGGTCTATCTTGGGAACCCAGCACAATAGGCACACTTGCAGCAAGTTTCAGGTGGGAAGGAGAGAAATTCTAAGCAGTAGCACAAGGGATGGGTACTTATACCTGAAGTTGTGCTATGGGGGATCAAGATAAAATAATAACAGAGGAGAGCCACCATGTATTGTAAGACAGTGCCAAGCACTATTTTAACCACTTCACAACAAATATTTAACTCATTAAATCTTTGCAACCTATGAGATAGTACCCATTATCTTCATTCCCAACAGATGAGGAAGCCGAAAGCATTAAAAAAGTTTAAAAATTTACCCAACATTATACAGCTAGCAAAGAGCAGAGCCAGCATTTGAAAGCAAGCAATCTGGCTACAGATTCTGTACTCTCAACCACTACCTTCTGCCTTTACAACTAAGTAAAGAGCATGCCCTAAGTCACAACTTGCACCCTAATAATATTTACAAGGTCATCCTGAAATAAAACTCTTTCGTTGTTATAGGAGAGGGACAGGAGGGACATGTATGAAGTTGCAGAATTTCAGAAATGAAAATGACCCTAAAGATCAACTAGATTAATAGGATGGATTATGCACTAACTAGATGCAGAGAATTAACAAGATTTGCCCAAGGACACATAGCCAGTTGGTGGTGGAGCATGGATAAGAATGCTGAGCCCTGACACCAACCCAGTGCCTTCCCTATTAATCTGCTTCTTAGTCTTTGATCAGTTAGGAAAGGTAATGTTTGTTTACAAAAAAAAAAAGTATACACAATGTAGCGTCACCAGGCCTACACTAATTTATGAACATTAACTAAAAAGAAAAAAAAATTTAGAAAAGAAACCCCACAATCATTATTAATTTGTGGTTAATTAATAAGTGGTTAATGACTGTCAGCATCCAAGATTATTTAAATTAGAGTAAGCAATATTAACAGTTTTCTAAGGATTTCTCAAGTAAACAAACTGAAAATTATGGAATTTTATTTATACTTCAAAATTGCACTTAAATAATTTATTATAACTTTCTAATACTTTGTTTTTAATGAGAAGAAAAATCCCACTAAAGTATTCCACAAGGAGTTTTTGTTTGCTTGTTTGTTTTTGTTTTTATCACCAGTCCCTATCATGGCTGAAGCTTGTACGAAGAATCTGTTTTCTCATAATGAAGAACTTGCCCTTACCCTGCTTGGGCTAGCCACATTTTTTTCTGCCAGGTCTACTTTGGTCAAAACAAATATTGTCCTCCTTCCATGAGGATCCATTTGACTGACCAAGTCTGTAACAATGCTGCGTTCAGCATCCACAGATCCATCTGAAAAAAATTTGAAAAATGATACTTAACAACTGCAAAGTAGATTTTAAAACTTCTATACGCTACACCCTTATATCTAGATTATAGTAAGAAAAATTTTCTTAATACATTTATCTTAGTTATGAAAAGAAATTCTAGTCAATAAAAATCTGTGATGCCTACAATGAAATTTTTCAAAATATTCCCAATTTCAATTCCATTTACTAATGAAATGCAAGACATTTATCTTGTATTTTTATGTAACATGCATATTTAGAGCAAAGCTTAGATTGCTAAAGAAGGAAGCATATCAGTGCAATTAAAACCTTTTGATAAGATTTACCTTGAATACATAGTATGATGGCATTAGGATTTTGCATATAAGCTTTGCTGATACTGAAAATAGTTTCCTTCGTGTCAGGAGCCATGCCTGATGTCACAGTCTTGAAGAAAAAGGTTTTAAATGTCATTATACATATTTTCCACAATAGGAACAAGACAAAATACACATTTTGTATATACTTACACTAATCACACCTGGCAAGTCAACAAGCACCATCCTCTGCAGTCCAGGGCCTTTTACATTTAAAGATATGGTCTACTCAGGGAAAAAACAAAACAAAACTCATTGTGGGGGGGTTGGTTTGTTAGGAATTTATTAGTGATATATATTCTGAAAATTCTGCATCTCATCCATTCAGAAAGAAGTTACTCTTTTTCTAATCCTTTTAGTTAATTATTCTAGAACATCACCCACAAAATGATACATTATTTGGAATATTAAAAAAAAAATCTATGTATCTTAGAATAGCTGCAATCTAAACACAAATACCAATATCATGATTTATCTGAAATCATTAACTTTGAATTTCCATAGAACATTGTTAAAATGAATTACAACACTTACCTCAGGACTAACAGTACAGCCTTCTTTCACATTTTTCCTCATTCGGAGTTCTATTTCATGTCTTAATGCTGCAAGCTATTAATGGAAAACAACAAAATCCTATGAAAATCTTCAGCTAACAAGTATTCCAGTTAGTTGTCTTTCATAAGCTTATAGGAGTTATAAAGTTACACACATGAACCTCCATGTAAATTCTACTTACATCCTCCTCTTTGGTAAGATCGAACTCCCGAGAACTATCTTTAAACAAGGCCACGTGGTGAGGACCTTCACTAAGAGTAACCTGAAATTAATGGAAAATCGAGAGGTAGTAATGCATTTACAATTCATACTGATCCCATAGGACTTACATGGTCTAGAGGCGCCCACTGCACTGCATAAATCTGGGCATGCCCTCATAGTACACATCAGGAACACCCCTGGGGGCTGTCAACATGGCAATACAGAGACTATAGAATTTTTTATCTGTATTGTCCATACATCTCTTGCATGTGCTGTAATTTCCCAACAAGACTGATGGCTACTCTTTATCTTTCATGACCTAAAATTAAATGCTGCTGCCCGTCTCCTTTCCCAGTCAAGGCTGTAAGGCTACTGAGCACAAAACCATCAACCTAAAACTTGAAAAACAAAAAGAAATCTTGGATTTAACTTCACAGGTCAATTTAGGTAAAGGACAATTCATTTATTCAATTTCTATCTATTGAGGGCTAACTGTGTCAAGTGTTCCGGGGGGGGGTGGGGGGGGGGGGAGGAGAAACAAAGAACAGACTGTCCCTGGTTTAGATCTCACTGAGATCTCCTGGGAAGAATATACACAAAGCTAACAGGACAGTGTAGCAAAACCTAGGTGCACACAAGACTGACCACAGGGGAGCTAAGGCAGCCTTCACCCAAGGAGTGAGTGACATCTGCATAAGGAATTTTCTAACAGCTTATATATCAACAGTCAGGGCTTTCATGAGAACTTTTAAGTTCACATTCCTTTACTTTTCAGTTGTAACTTTTCAAGTTTCTTTATAATGATCCGATTTCACTTTTTAAAATACAATTCCTTCTACTGAGACAAGCTAAGCAGGCTAGATAACCAATAAAACTCAGCTGTTTGAAGGCACTGGAGAGCAACCATGGCAGCCTGGACTTGGTCCAAGACCCCAGAGGATTTTAGGGCACACTCCTACGGCTGTTTTCCTTCAGGGTGCTTGCTGATTTATGGCACAGGGTAGCATAAGAGAAAAGGTTAAAACTTGAAGCAGTCTTACTGGGTTGAGGAGACAAGATAAGAGATCAGGGTATCAAGCATCCCTGGGTTAAGGTGGTAAAGCCCCAGAAAAAAAGACAGCAGAAATGAATCTCCAAAGACCAAGCCCTACCTTTTGTGCACAATTTCCCCATAAGGTGTTTGCACATGAGTTAACAAAGCAGAAAGAATCTGCTAAAAAGGCTAAAATGCTAAGTCAAGATTCTGGCAATCTGTTTAGGAGAGACAAAAATCTGGAGTTCAGAGTCCATCAGGGAGGAGAAGTCCTGGTAAATTCTAGAGGTGTAATGGTGAACTGGAGAGAAGGAAATCTGTCCATGATTTACTTGTCTGCTAGAAGAAAATTAATTCCTTCCTAAAATATAACATCATTCATAATGTTATTTTACCAAAACATCATTCATCATGTTATTCATATAACAGCCGCTACAATTAGAATGCTAGTGGCAATGTAGAAGGTAGGTTTTTACAATGTTTTTAGAGATGATTATAGAGCAAGATATGAGGTGCAGTCAGATTTCCCCCCACTGGAAATATCCCAAGTGCCCATCAATAGTAAAATGGATCTATAAATTTTGGTGTGTTCACACAAAACTACAGAACAATGGAAAAGAAACTAGTTTTACACAACATAGTTGAATTGACACCCAGACCCAAAACAGTGCATTCCGTATAAATCACACTAGACTGCCTATTGCAGTTATGAACAGACTTCATTTCTGGAAGATTTTAGCATCAGCCTTATTGTCTATTCTGGCCTTCGTTCTTGGTGATGTCAATTTTCTAATTCTCCAATTACTCTACAACCACCAGCTAAAGTAAAAGAAAACACACACCCACACACACCCACACCCATACAGCTTTCCCTCAAATTTATGTCCACAGATCTTTTTTTTTTTTTGGAGAGAAAGTGCCCATGTTGGGGGTGGTGCGCAGAAGGATGGACAGAGGGAGAGAGAGACTCTTAAGTAGGCCCCACACCCAGCACAGAGCCCAAAGTGGGTCTCATTCTCATGACCCTGAGATTATGACCTGAGCCAAAACTAAGAGTCAGATACTCAACCGACTGAGCCACCCAGGCACCCCTGTATCCACAGATCTTAATGGAGCCCTTAGTATGGCTCAGGAATCCTATTATCTTGCCTTCTGTCATCAACTCACTTCTGGAGTCACACTCGCCAAGAAAGACTTCTTAGCTCAATTTTTAATACCTTCCCCCCTCTTTACTTCACAGCTGATAATCTAGCCTCTCGTTTCATTGCCTGCTTCCCCTACTAGAATGTATTCTCCATTATGGCAAGGATCTTTGTTTTGTTTAACCAACACACTGCTTAGAACAGTGCTGAATGTATTAAGCACTCCATAACTATTTGTTGAACGAAAGACTGTAGCCATAGACTTTTTTCCTGTGACTGCAGATGAACTGTTAGAACGTCTATATATTGCATGCTGAGTCCCAGCCTTCTACCTCAAAGACCCTACTACTGCAATCAATTGTTCCCTGTCTCTTACATCATCATTTTTATCTCTCAAAGTAGATCATTATAATCAGTATGTAAATATCTTTCCCTTGACGCAATACATTTCAACTGCTACTGCCCCATTGCTCTATCTTCTTACAGTAAACCAGGAAAATTATCTACATTTATTGACTCCACTTCCAATATTCTTATCTTCTAACTCAGCCTCTCAGTGACCTCACTCTGAATAAAATCCAGGATCCTAACAACAGCTCAGGGCAGCCCGGCCCTACCACGCCTCTGCCCTCCTCTCTCTCTTCCATCACCCGCTCCGCTCCTGTCACACTCGTCTCCAGGCTGTGCCTCCACCAATTTCCACAATAGGACTAATTCCCAGTGCTATGTATCAATTCCTTTTAGTTACAATTCTTCACTTCAACATAATGAACAAACTTCAATGAAGCAGCTACCTTCCTGAGGAGCTCCCTCCAGATGGCCTACTGTCCTACCTTAACCGGAGAGCGTGTCATCATTTCCCCAGATCCTCGAGGGAATATCCGTGCTTGGGCAATCATTTCCAACACACTAGTTTTTCCAGCACTCTGGTCTCCAACCACAACCACCTTACCATAGAACACATAACATTAATTCAGATTTTTAAATACAGGCTTATATTTAAATAGGAAATACCGCTGAGATTTTTCAGTCTTTTAAAATACCTACAGTTAAATGATTTTAAAAATCCCATCCATAAAAACAAAGACGGTTTACCTCTATGCATACTGAAAATACAAACAGCAAAATCTTAATTGGATCCATTATTTATAACCAAATTTTTAATAAAAAGTTGTGCTAATTAAGCCACCACTTCTAAAACCAGATCATTCATGTTCTACAAATCTTTTCCACAGCCAGTTTACTCTTCATAAAAACATTTTCAACTTTATGATGTTAAATTTCACTCACTGACTAATTTCATCCACTGTTCCGGAATTTTAGTTTCATGGATGTTACAAATGTATAATGCCAAGTACCTGATAACCTTACTTCATTACACATAAATATAAGTAAGCCAATGGACCAAAATAGTCAAACAACATTCAATGCTTAAGACATCATCTAGAGCACATAAATAACATTATATAGGTAAAAAATATATGTCTCTATTTATGTCTGTGTGGTGTGTCCATATGTATATGGCTATACTGTGTGTCTGAGTGTGTATATATATATACATATACATACACATATATAGACAAACATAACTTTTTTAAACCCTAAAGTGTTCTTTTGCTAAAGAGTAAGTTCACTATGTATTAATTTTTCACTTACCCTTGGCAGATGATCTTGTGTATTGTAACTGGCATCATAATCAGATAGAACATCAAGAACTTCAGAATACATGTCAATCAAAGATTTCTATAAAATTTTAAAAATTAGTATTAAACAATGAACAAATTAAAGAAAATCAGATGTGTCAAGAGAAAAAAAGCTGATAAATCCAAAATGTTCTTCCATAATGATTGTATTGTTTTTTTCTAATTACATAAATAACACTTTCATAGTAAAATGGTACAGAATAAAATTCCATTTTTTCATATTCAATTTATTTAGAGATATGTTGATTTAATATAGTACCTTAACTGAGGATTTCCTAACCTTCCAATTAAATGTTAAAAGAGGGAAGTTACTGTTTAATATTGAAGAGCTAATATTAAATGCCCAACAATTAAAGGCCAGAAGAGCATCAAGGGCAGGCATCCTGCATTGTTTCTCTCTCTAGGACCCGGACAGAACATGGTACCTGGCAAATAATAAGCTTCAAGAGAGTATCTGAAGAACAAATGAATAAATAAATAAACAAGTGAGGAAAAAAAGGACTACTATGCCAAGCATTTAATAATTAAAGACAAGTTTCAATGCAAGGTAGGAAGAAAACGAGGGCCTACATTTCCTTTCATCTTCCTAACACCAAGAAGTAATTAAATGGAAAGCAACTGCTATCCCTTCCACCTAAAAATAAACAAAAAACTTGAAATTTTCATTACTATTTCATTTTATGAGAGAAAATACCGTTTTTGAGGTGAACTCTCAAAATATATTAACACTGGACATGACTTTTCTCAATTGCCATGTATAACTTGTGAATAAAGCCATGCTATTTATCTGTTTTATGCAGACATAATTTAGAGTCAGAACTACTAATACATGTTGATTAAACTAGAACTACTTATCTTTGGACCTTGGCCTCAGAATACATGTGCCATGATTTATTGTAGGTTTGCTACACACAAAATCTGTTTACTTATATGAGATATAAGTTAAAAATATTACTTCAGATTAATTCAGCAAATACAGCTTGGTTTAGTGGGCAATAATGAGATTTAACTTACTGATAATGGTGATTACCAACGTGCTGATAAAAATACTAGCATATGCTTTTTACAAAAATGCTTTAAAATGCCTAAGAAACCTTCCAGAAGAAAATGTAAAATTCTTATAAAACTGAAGAAAGTAGACTAATCATTCCCTGGAAATACAAGTAAGTTATGATGCTAAGTCATACCTACATGTCCCTCAACTCACAATTCTGACTTATAACTACAGAAATTAAATAAGCCTAAAGACAAATGGGGTATTTTAGAAAACTAAATTGATTCACAAGAAATGACTGTCAAAAGAATGAAAATTGTATGGGCCTCATATGAAACAAATGTTTGGTGACTATAATTTATGAGGTGTCTTAATATAGGAAAAGACTTCCCTATCTCCCAAGGATATAAGGTTAGAAAGAAAAGGATAGAACACATTACAGCTTTAAAAACTGGTATTGATGAACGCACAATGTGAAGTAGCAAAGTTCTGGAACTAGCAAAATTAAGGTAAGCTGAAAATACCTTAAGTTTTCTGTGATGGATGCCTTTGTCATCTTTCTGCAATACTAATTTTCTTAATTCTTTGTTCTCTTTTTCTAACCGTTCCAAGATCCTCTGGTACTTTAACTGTAACAAAATAACACCGTAACTATGTAAGAAAAAGATGAGTTAATAATTTAATTAAGTCTAAATTAAAATCTTCCAAAATCCTGAAGTCATATTTCCTGAATATTTAAAATGAATTATTTCATCTAAAAAGCTTCTTCAAAAATGTTGAGAGAACAAAATCAATTATGAAAATTATCTCAAACAGTGGAATTCATTTTTCTATTATAATCTGGCATTTTATTTGGAAAATTCTTTGCTATTTACAATGAAGAAACTGAATTATTTAAAAATACTAAAATGTAAGAATTTAAAGAAGCAAGTTCTTAAGTACACTCAATTTTTTTTTTTTTAAAGATTTTATTTATTTATTCATGAGAGACAGAGAGAGAGAAGCAGAGGGAGAAGCAGGCTCCCAAGGAGCAGAGAGCCCAATGCGGAACTCGATCCCAGGACCCTGGGATCATGACCTGAGCCGAAGGCAGACGCTTAACCATCTGAGCCACCCACGCGCCCAAGTACACTCTATTGAAACAGTATTTCCTATTACATCAAAAATTTACGTCTTTACTATAGGGATATTTGACAAAAATTCAAATTCTTCCCATTCCCCATATTATTTTATGTTATATATTAAAATGATATAAAATAACAACAGCTAATAGTACCTGAGCATATATTATGTGACAGGCCCAATACTGAGTGTTTTACAAGCATTAGCTTCCTTAAGTCTTTACATGAGGCAAAGGTAACCTAGATTAGGGACCTGAGGTTAGGGACCCTTGATAGCCTATCCAAGGTCACAGGGTTTTGAATATAGGCAGAGTCAAGAGCTCAAACTCCAAATTTTGGTTACCAAGGCCAGAGATTACACATTAATTTTTAAAATACTGATATAAAAACAGATTTAAATTAAGACTAATACATGTAGACAGCTTGTTTTGCCAAAGTAGATGCTTAGCTATACACTTTTCTTCTCAAATAAATGTGATCCTCTTCTACTTGGTCATTTCAGTTTGTATACCATCATTTCTTCTCTAAACATGAATAATGTTCAGACACTATTAAGAATTACTTGTTCCTACAACCAGCAGAACATTTATGTCCAACTTCTAATATCATGCCTTTCAAAATGGAAAATCATTCTTAGGAAAATTTTTAGGTTGTTGTAATCTTTCAAGAACAAAGTAAATTAACAGGAAATCAGGGGGTCTATCCTCAGAGAATGTCCAACTATAGTCAAATTTTAAAAAAGCATATTCTACAGAACTCTGTAATATGAGACAGGTAGAACTAGAAGCTAGATTCTACTATAAACATTTTTTAACAATCCTTGTTCATTTATACATTGTATATATAACATATACAACAAAATTCTGACATAAATAGATCTTTGCTGTGTAATATGGTAGCCACTAGGCACTGGAGCTGTTGAGCACTCTGAAATGTAGTTAGTCTGAACTGAGATGTACTGTTAAGTGTAAAATACATACCAGACTTTTTGATTCAGTAAATAAATGAATAAAATACCTCATTACTATTTTTATACTAATTACACATTTAAATGATACTAATTTGGAATTTACTGGGTTAAATAAAATATATTATTAAAATCAGTCCTACCTATTCCTTTTTACCTTTTTTGGAATGTAAAAATTTTAAATTACACATGTGGCTTGCATTATATTTCTCTTGCACATCACTGATATAGAGAACCTCAGGGCTTATTATAGTATTAGGAATTTTTCATACAGTGTTTGTGTCAATGCCCACTGGCTGACACTACAAATTGCACAAGTCAAAGAGTTGATATCAATGAATATGTAAGGATGGTAGGATTTCCACTGGCTCATTTCTTTGTAAATACGGAATCAATTATGGGGTCTACATTTTCTGGGGATCGAACATTTGGTATAGGTGCCAATCTTCAGCCATTCTGCAGAGATGTGTTACTGAGCTGTCCTCCAAAGATCTAGACTAATAGTTCTCAAACTTAAGGATGCATCAGAATAATTTGAGGGCTTTTAAAAAGAAAGATTGCTGGGTTTTACTTCTACAGTTTCTGATTCAAGAGGTTTTGGAAGGGGTCAATAATTTGCATTTCTAACAAGGTCCTAGAAAGATACTGATGCAACTGCTCCAGAGACCACACTTTGAGACCAATGATTCCTAACCTCTGGCTGAACTGAAGATTACAATTGCTTGGCTGGGAAGCCTTTAAAAATATATGTATGGAGATGGCCAGAGCACAAGTGATTCTATGGTATAGTCAGGCATGAGGATCAATGCATAGGTATCAACGAAATCAATGCACAGATATTAAGAAAAACCTGTGACTCAAAATATAATGTTTAATTTCATCTAGGTTGTCTCTTGTATTTTTTCCCTAAAAAGAGACCCCCTTAAAAAAAGTTTTCTTCAAAGACAAAAACTTATTTTTTTTTAAAGATTTTATTATTTATTTATTTGAGAGAGAGAGAGAGCACATGGGAGTGGGGGGGCAAAGGAGAAGGAGACTCCCTGATGAGCAGGGAGCTCGAAGCGGAACTCGATCCCGGGACTCCAGGATCATGACCTGAGCCAAAGGCAGTCACTTAACCAACTGAGCCACCCAGGCACCCCAAGACAAAAACTTCTTAATTATTGCACATCATTGTTATCCATGTAAGTTAACATAACTAGATTATATATTATTATATTTATATTACATCATAATATAGTAGTAATCATAACAATATATTAACTAATGATGGAGTGTGTGATATGGCAATTTTGTACTAGAATTTACCTACTCATCAGATTGCACAGAACTTTAAAATAATGAAAGTTTTATAACAAACTACAGGAGAAGAGCTTTTCAAATTAGTGCCAGAAATACATTTAGAAAAGTCATTATCTGATTAGTATACGGATTTAGAGAAGTAAAGGGAAAAGATACTGAGGGCTGATTAGAACTACAGTAGACTCAAATCAATTTCTTATATGACTTAGTCTATCAATGTAAAAATGCAAGCAGAGGTCTACGTAAGAACAAGTTACTCTTCCCCACTTTTTTTTTCCATAGCAGTTTTCCTTTAAAATTAGAAGTACAAGATTCACTCAAAAATAGGTTTTTATAAATAAAGGAGTTAAACCACATTTACCAAGTTTCTTTTTTATTCCTTATTTCTCAATTTTTTGCATTTTTTTTTTTTTACATCTTTTTATAAGGTCATATCATCAAACCACTCCCCAAATTTCACTCTCTTAAAAAAATTCCCACATTATCAAACTTAAGATAAAGTCCCTGGTTCTTTTTTTTTTTTTTTTTTTAAGATTTTATTTATTTATTTGACAGAAAGAGAGCCTGCACACTCTCTCTTTGCAGGGGGAGTGGCAGGCAGAGAGAGGAGAAGCAGACTCCCTACTGAGCAGGGAGCCCGATGTGGGGCTCAATCCCAGAACCCTGGGATCGTGACCTGAGCCTAAGGCAGATGCTTAAATGACTGAGGCTTGCAGGTGCCCCTAAAGTCCCTGGTTCTTTCTACTCATCAGAATTACCTGAGTATGCAGAAGTTCTTCTTGAAGCTGGTCAATTTTCTCTTTGTCTGTCACCTAAATATTTAAATAAATTAATTTTATTTCAGTAGAAATAGATTTACATAAAATGTACAGTAAGTTAAATTTTTTGAAAAGTATTTTTAAAAACTACTGACTTTACATGCATATTTAATAAAAGCAAATTTTAAATCAAATGATTTAATAAAGTCAAAAGATCTGTATTCAACACTAAAATTGCTTATCAAAATTTTGTAACTGTATTAATACGTAAAAGCCTTAAAAAGCAATCCTTTTCCAGATGCTATTCTCGTCATTTCTGATGAATGGCTCGTTAGAAAAATAAGAGATCAACACATATGGTTACTATAGTTTTCATAGGTTGTTTTATACTCAACCCCAGGCATTTGGATGCTTGGAGAAAAAGAGCATTGACACCTACAGAAATGTGTTTTGGGAACTCAGATGCATGTTATCATTTACAGCTACTGAAAAAATTTCACTAGTCATAGTGTATATGTTAAGTATCTATTACCCATTTCTATTCTGTAAGTAGGGAAGTATTTAATAAATGCAAAGAACAACTTGTATTTTCAGAGCTTTAAGTGGAGCCAGTTGCTTGTTTTTAAATTCAATTCCAGTGCAAGATCTGCTAACCCATAATAGAGTGAATGCAGTAGCAATAAAGTTGAGTAAGGCAACTAAAATTGATTTAAACATAAAACAAAAGTAGGATAAAATCTACAGCTATTGTGGAAACTACTTCCAATTGTTACTAAAGCTAATAGTTCTAAGATAAAATATCCAAAACAACAAAGAACTTTATTACATTAACAGACTCTAGTCACAGTATAATTCAAAATATAAAACATAATGATCAATTTTATTAAAATGATATCATTTATGACAAACCCATATAACTGTGCTTTGACTCCTTGGTGAGGTGCAGAAGTTGTCATACTCAGTCTTTCAAAATAATTGTCTAATTTCTGATCATCAAAATTCATAAACATGAATTTATTTCATAGGAGACAAAACTCAAGATAAAATTCATGTAAGTCCTTGTTCACTTTTCTTCAATGGCTATTTAAGCAATCAAGATATTATGGTAGCAACTAGATATGAAAAGATTTTAAATGATTTACTTATTGAGGTAGACATTAATAACTCTTATCCACACAAAAAGTTATTTTGAGGTTTTAATTCCTCTTTCCAAATAGTTTCTCAAAGTATTCCCCAAACTTCTTTTAAATAAAAATAATACTTGCTACAAACATTATTTTTTCCTTAAAAGTCTATGACTGAAGAAAATATAATATAAAACAAAATTTGTATTACTGTTTTCTCATTCTTGTACAGCAAGCAGAGACTTATGGAGAGAAGCTTTCTCATTTGACCGTGTTTGTGTAAAATGGACAAGAATTATTAATAGTCTCCTAAAATATGAGGAAACAAGCAAGTTGAGAAGGCACCAATAACCCAAAGAACAAAATCTTGAAGACCGATGAAGAAATAAATAATTCCATATTGTTTTCATACAGCATGCCATCACGCTGTAATAATGTGGTCATAAAAATTTTGCTGTGTAAATTCCCAATTCATTTTAAAAGGTAACTGTGTTCTATTAAATACTCATCCAACTGCAGCTAAGTTAGTATGAAATGTATAAGCAGTATTAGTATAAACTGTTTTAGCTTTGAATGTGAATACTTAATGACTTCTGCAATATATCCTAAATTATAATAGAAAATCCACTAGTACTCTACATCTGGGACAATAATTAAGTAACTAATACAATTACACAAAAAAGTTAGAATGCTTACTGTAAACCAAGGTCTATAGAAGGTTAACTTGGTAATTTGGTAAAATAAAAAGGGTCTATAAAAAGTTAAAATGATACAAGGTTATTAGACTATGACAATCTTTATGATAATATTAGTAATTTAGTAACGATGACTGTTAAGATTTTTATAAATTTGGATTTTTAGAAGTCTTTGGACTTATCATTTGCCCTTCTGGCACAAGTGTTAGGCATAACTCATGTGTAGTTTTATCACTATGCTTCCTATCTACTCAGTTTAATGGAACATCAAAATTAACATTATATTAAAAGACAGGTGTGGTGGTGGATCGGGAATCAGACCTAATACATTCTAGGAAATAAGATGAAAACCTTTAGGTTTACAAAGTAAATATTAAAGATAATGAAAAGATACTTTTCCGTATTTTCTTACGGGAATAGCACATATGATTTTTCACCTGTCACTTATTCAGTATCTTAACTAGCTAATCCGGGTATATTTAATGTTGATGCATTTTACTGGTAAAGTTCTGCTACTTACGACAAGAGTTAAGTTCTTGTCCCATTGCTCAATATATTCAGTTTGCATTATGAAATTAATTTGAAACTCACCCTGACAGAAATGGGTATCAATGGTCTTGAAACCACAGCTTTTCTACAATTCCACGGCTGTGAATCTGATGGAGAAAGAGCGGAATCCTCCGCAGAAACAAGCTAAAGCTGAAAAAGAAAAACCTTTACTAGCTCCTCACAAAACCAAGCCTGAGTGTTGTATTTTAAGTATTTCTTCCTACTAAGCCATTGTGGCCATTCCGAAATACCGAAATACATAGGTAAAGGACTCGTAAACATTTCCATGTATGTGTATGTATTCATAGGAGGCAAAACTACCAAAGGCAGTTTGAATCTACTGTCTACATGAGCGATAGGGACAGCTTATTAGCTGCTACTAATAAGATATAAAAAAATGAAGGCCTACTTACATTTTCAAGAAGGTAAGGGAGGAAGAATGATTAAAAAGTGACAAAAAGCTGTGGTTTTGCACCTCAAGAAAACCTCAAATGCCTGGAGGAATGACACAAATCTCACGAATTGGGATTCGGATCATGAGGACAGTGAAGGGCTGAAAAAGTCACCTGTGTACAGGGAGTCACTACAGGGAGAAACGGGGGAAGATGCAGTAAGGAAATGATCTTTAGGGACAGCCAGGGGAATGATGTCATTATAGAAGAGCGTGAATTGCTTTTGAAGTTCCATTTACTTTCGCACTGGGTAACTCCAGAGTGGGCCAGACTACCTGGTGCTCGACTAAGTACGCCTCAATAAACCACACCACATGGAGATGCAGTCCTGTCAGCTGCTATTTTACAAAGGGGGAAAATGTGGAATAAAAGATTACATGGACAATCTGATGACCTCAGAAAGAGAAAGGAGATCTCTGAACCTGAAAACTGCCTAGTAAAGTAGGCCTCAAATGAACACTAACCTTGGGCAATGCAGAAAATGAACATTATTCACTACTAATATCCCTTAAATCATCCGATTCAAAAGTATATCGATGATCTTAAACTGTATCTTAGAATCTTAGAATGGCAGATCTGTGGGACTCATTTCAAATTATTTTACCATTATGAAAAAACAAGAACTTCTAACTAGAGCTATTCATATTTCTAACTAACATAAGAGAACATACCAGTTCTTTCCCCTTCTTTCTGTAACAAACCTAAGGAACAGATGGCTCAACTTATGCATCCAATTTGTTAGAATATTTAAATGGCACTTCAATGACATACAGAGCAGAGAATGCTAAAGCACCATTTAAAATAAGCCCTTCCTTGGTTTAACACATCTACTTTAACTCAACCAAACAGGAAAATAACTTATTTTCGATTTCAACCTATGTTGTTCATTCACTGAAAGCTAAATATACAGGAGTTGATTCTACAGCCATGGAATTGAGAAAAGCCAGGAAGTGACTGAAAAGATAAATGAAACTGTGAGGAGTACTCTCAAGTGTTACCCATCACCAAATGAGGTAAGGTTAGTAAGCAAAATTACTGCATCAAATCATTATTTATAATATTGGTTGACTTCAAACCAGAATCTACAGGAAGCTAATTAAATGGCTGAATCTCTTTTCCTGAGTAAAATTTGTGTATGACTTTTAAAACTTTCCTGATCTAATATATGTAACCTAATTACGCTGATGTCAAGATCTCAGAATGTAACTTTAAAGTCAGTACATTCATTTCATTTTGACTCAAGTCTCTTCAGAACATTACTTGGGATCTACACCATGGGACTATCTAACAGCCAAAAGCATCCTTTTAAGGACTTCTTGATTATACCTAAAACCAAACATTTGTACAGATTTATGCTGGCTTTTATTAGAATCTGTTCTTCAGCAACCCAAATCGTATCAAATTTCCAGTATTCAATCCTTCGGTAGTCCAAGGTGAAAATTTATTTGTACTGACTTCACTGATGATTGTGGAAAAACTTAATCAATGATTTTATCAGGTATTCGAATAATTTTGCCCAAAATTTATACCAAAATAGTTTTTTTCTATAAGAAATAACCATGTTTTCTGCTGACCCACTTTACTAAAACAAGCAAATTTCATTCTTTAAATAATTTAAATAGTGGTTGTCCACAGCAGTCCTTTACACTTTAGGAATGAAAACTTGGGAGAACCACAGACAAGCTAAAAACTGAGGGTGACTTGATACAATAACTGGACCAAGCAAACCACAATTCATAATTCTTCTCTAAATACAAATCCATGGACCCTCACAGAGAATCTCAGTTTGAGAAAATTCCTATGTTTAATATTTTGGGTTTATTTATCCACTTCAGGAAAGTTACATATTTGTATTATGTATCTTTTATATTTTTACTTTGTTAAAAATAATTTCCCATCACTGGAGTCCATGAATGGATTAAGGTGATATGATCTTGGTAGAAATGGCTGATTAGTGTGAATACATCAGTAGCCCCCTTAAATGATCCATCACCTTGCGCTTCTGTTGGGCATAGCTTGTGTTATATTGGCCAGCAGCTCTGCGTGCTTCCTCTTCATGCTCTTGAATTTGCTGTTGTAAGAGAATGAGCTCACCAAGCAGACCCTGCCATGAGTTTACAATGAGGAGAAGAGGAAAATTGGGGAGGAGAACAATGTTAAACCAAAGGGCACAAGCAAGGAACGGGCGTTAAGTTAGGGAAGAATGGATAGCTTATAACAAAAACGGAAATGCATTTCTGTACCTTTAGAGCCACTATATAACAGGGCTCTATACCACATTTCCATTTTTCCCCTCGGTAAAATTAGATGTCTCAAAATACGAAACAGCAGAGTTTAAAAAGCGAAAAGCAATGTGACTGTCTGCTGAGTAACATGAGCCAGATATATAATATTAATATACAGTAAAACCTAGACTAACTGGAATGCTCAAGGAAAGTGGCATTGTAGTTAACAACTTATTACTTCAACCCTTATTTTTGAACTGCCAATATGAACTAGTATATGCTCCTGACTTGATACAAAAGGAGAAAAAAATCTTAATTCTCAACCATAATTCTCACAAGACTGAAATAATAGCTTATTTAATTATTAAATTATTACTCTTAAGTATTTTTCCTTGATATCTAATGACTTAAAGATTATAGCCCCTCAAAACTATTGAGTTTCCAAGCATCAAGTTAATCACAGTTTTACATTAATTCATATATTCTACATGCCTACACACACAAGCTTATCTGACTTCAATTTAGGATTCTCTTTCTTTAAATTAAAAAATAATGTTTGAGGCACTGTTTTAAATTCATACAACATAAAGTAAGTATTTGACTGAATTTTCACTTTTTATGAGCTGTTTTGACATTCAGTAGAAACAGCCTCTAAGAATGTAAGTAATCTATCAATTACTAAAGCAAAAGCACTAAAAAAGAACATAACTGAGATTTGGAAATACAGTTATTATGAAAACTCAAAACGAAACAAAACCCAGTTACCTATGTACAACACAATCACCATTCCTATGTTTAAAATTCATTCCATTTAATAATCATGAAATGTTAACTGGTGCAATTTTTTTTTTTTTTTTTGAGAGAGAGAATGAGATAGAGAGCATGAGAGGAGGGAGGTTCAGAGAGAGAAGCAGACTTCCTGCCGAGCAGGGAGCCCGATGCGGGACTTGATCCTGGGACTCCAGGATCATGACCTGAGCCAAAGGCAGTCGCTTAACCAACTGAGCCACCCAGGCACCCAACTGGTGCAATTTTTATCACAATGTATTTACATGGGGATTGGTACTCAATACATGTCATTTTCTGTACAGTATTTTTAATTGCTGGCCTATTAGATAAGAGACCCCAAGAGATGTGGGAGAAAAGACAACTAAGGATTGAAAATGTCACAAGCCTAGTATTTTTTCAATTAGACACCCTAAAAAAACGTAAAGTTCCAATGAATGGAGTCACTATTTAATATGCAGAAGAACAGGGCTCTGGGAGAACAATGGGCTCAATTTTTACCACATTATAAAAATAAAAAGAGCTAGGAAAACGAAACTCATTAAAATAATCTAAACTGGCAGTTTCAAATAGCTTCAGAGATTTTTAAAATAATTGTCCAAAATATTATATTTTATATAATACAACTAGAAAGCTTCCTAAAATGCTGGTTAACATTACATTCAAATTTTAATTAGTAGAATCATCCAGAGGCTTAATAACTTAATTTTATATAACCCAAAGACTTCTACTATAAATGAAAGTTTTCCAGAAAAGAAATAAATACAAACAGGAAAGCTAATATTCTAGTAAAGCATTTTAAATTAAGGGAAAGTATTGGCATATAATTCGGGAGATTTTTGTCTGAATCTTACATTGAATACATTAGGCTATGCCAACAGTAATAAAACTGGTTGACTTACTATAAATCAAAGGATGAAACTAGTTGAAATTTTTTTTTATTTAAAGATTTATTTATTTGAGAGAGCAAGAATGAGAGAGAGAGAGAGAGAGTACATGAGAGGGGGGAGGGTCAGAGGGAGAAGCAGGCTCCTCCCTGAGCAGGGAGCCTGATGTGGGACTCGATCCCAGGACTCCAGGATCATGACCTGAGCCGAAGGCAGTCGCTTAACCAACTGAGCCACCCAGGCGCCCGAAACTAGTTGAAATTTGTGTGACAAGTGAGAGAACATCAAAATGGCAGGTGACATAACTGAACTGTCAACATCTGTTTCCAAATTCATTCATCACGGTGATCTTTAAAGATAGATCTTTTAAATGAATACTTTTAGGGTCATGGATAAATCTAGCAAAGAAAGACAATGCCAACCAACTACTCTCACTGTCCTCATCATTCCTAACTATCTATCATTTTTTCATTTTTTGTATGATTGTTTTTCATAAAGCAGAAAGAAGAAATCCAACTTATTTTTATTAATTTAGTCATTTACTATAATCACTTCTCATCATCCAAATGTTCAGATGTCTCAAAACAATACCCTTTTAAAGGTTTCTTCTGTGTTGGCTTATATAGTCGTGTACCTGTACTTTAATTAACATACTACCAGTATTCTAACTTATATAATGTCAAAGCAGTGAGCAAATACTCCACATTTCTTAATATTCACTACCTAGCCCTTTAACAAAAAGTGTGCCAACCCCTGCTTTATTACTTTTCAAAGTAACCTAGGTCCAGAAAAGAACTTTATGAAAGTGAAGACTTCTTTTCACTTCCATTCAAAAAATACTGGTATGAATTAAACTACTTTTCAAAGTTTGAATAATTCTATTTGATTAGCTAGAAATAACTATTTCCCCCTCCCAGTAATACATAGCTCTGCTCAAGGTATTTATGGTCAATGGAAAAATGTTTATTAATGGATATCAGAAAGAAATATATCTTTCCATTTGGATTATTTAACCTGCTTCTATTCAGAAATGTAATTTCCTATTTTACTACTTGGACAATTTCTACAACTGATAATTTTAAGAGATGAATAAATCAGTCTATTACAGATAGTTGTTATCAATATTACAATTCCTACCAAATCCCCTTTGTTCTAAATTGTTACCAAAAAACAGTATTATGTACACAGTATGTACTTAATGTTTCTTAAATGACATAAAAGGACAGTGTACTTATGAAGGAATAAAATAGGATGGCCTGTTTTGCCATTCCATTTTTCTTTATGCAGTTCTTCCCTCCTTTTCTTCCGCTGATACCTGTGCTTCCCAACTACTACACCCCAGTGCACAAGTGGGTTGGCTTCCTAGCTAAGATTCTAACCTTGTTTGCCAGTTAGCTGCTCAGGAAACTTAAGTTTACTGATCTGTGGTTGCTTGATGATGTTGGCTGTGGGAATTTCATTTTGCACAGTTACTACATTACTTGTTGCCTGAGGAATCCCAGAAACATAAATCCTACTTAAGCAATGCTGCTTCATTTTAGTTACCAAGCATAGGTACTACTTTCACATTCTTATGCTCCTCAGTAGATGCCAAATATCAAAGCCCAAGAGAAATTCACATGTGATCAGAGCAAAGACATATTATATAAGATTTTGTGGCCTACTTGTTGGCATTAATGAAATTTATTTACTTCAATTAGCATCTCTTTCACTGTGTTAAATCAATCACTCAATTTTGCTAAAAGCTCAGTATTACCCTAGGTGTTCTGAGGACAGAGATTTTATGATAGAAAGAATGCAAGCCAAAGTAAGTAATGTTTCAGCTGGCAACTGTTTTCAGTGTTAAGAGTATAGTTAATGGAACTAAAATAGTTATGGAAGGTTTGACGAAGAGGACAACAGAGCGAGGCTTTAAGGATGAGAAAAAATTTGGCAGAAAAGGGAAGAGAAAGGTATCAGCTGGGAGGTACAAGAGACGTAAAGCCACAAAAATAAGAATTAGAGTAACATATGGAAAGGAAGAACATTAATTACCATCTAATAATTACACTTAAAACAGTAATACCACTCTTCATGATTTAGACCTTTAAAACGTCCTTCAAATATTTTCTATAAATTATAAATGTGCTTGTAACCTTCAGAATGACCATATTGCTTACTTCTGTGAGATGTTTATGACCAATCAGAAACATGATAAAACAAAAGTACAGATGTCTCATTACAACAGACAATCTTACTGAATCTAAAAAAGGAGATTCACTAAGTGGTCTTGTCACCTAGCTATGTTATGATTGATATACAGAACTCTGCAGATTTGCAAATTATTCACTAAAATAGGCTCACTACTTCAGTTCTCAATTTGCCTTCAGGTGGTTCTGAAGGTCTCCAGGTCTCAAGGGTATTATTCAGTTGCCATCAAGGGCTCTAGTATTTTTCTTCAGTGGATATAAATTTAAAAATTTCTGATTAACAGCATTTATTGAAAAGTGGTTTTGATATTTTTCCATTTTTTAAATTTGGTAATATGTATCAGAACTTCTGGTCAACATGATGTAAACAACTACTGTCCATAAACTGAATGGATATAAATCCAGGCAAAGTCAAAGGAACTTGATGTTTAGTTAGCCTGTGCAGCATCATGCAGAAATATATGCTTTTCCCTTTTTGTAGACTTTTGGTAGACTTCAGTTACAACTTCGCCGAGTACCTAAAAGTATAGTGACCCCAGACTGGGAGCCATAGGTAATCAGTTCATTGCGTTATTCATTTTGTCTGACACAAGTCAAATAATCTGACATCTGTATTCTCTCAACTCTGTCATTTTCACTTCAGTTGATTTTGAAAGGTCCTAACTGTTCCTCTACCTGCCAGCATTTCTCCAGATGTGTTCCCTTTTTTTAAATTTACTTATTTATTTTAGAGGGAGGGAGGGAGAGAGAGAGAGTGGGAGCACATGAGTAGGGGGAGGGGCAGAGGGGAAGCAGGGGAGTCCAGCACATGGCCCCATCCTGATGGGGAGAGCACAACCCCAGCTGAAACCAAGTCAAGACACTCAATGGACTGAGCCACCCAGGTGCCCCTGTGTTCTTCTATTAGAAAGGACAAATCTCTTTTCTAGTTCTAGCTGTAGAAATGTTTTTATTACTACTTTAAAAAAAAATTGGGGGGCACCTGGGTGGCTCAGTCGTTAAGCGTCTGCCTTCGGCTCAGGTCGTGATCCCAGGGTCCTGGGATGGAGCCCATGTTGGGCTCCCTGCTCAGCGGGGGGCCTGCTTCTCCCTCTCCCACTCCTCCTGCTTGTGTTCCCGCTCTCGCTGTGTCTCTCTCTGTCAAATAAATAAATAAAATCTTAAAAAAAAAATTTAAAAAAAATTGGATTCACATTTACTTTTACATTTCTAGTTTAAGTCTGGCCAGAAATTTTGGTACAACCCAGACAACCATTAAGCTAAGGCATGACTGCTTCAAACTCTAAATACCATTTTCTATCTGGGGCTCTCATAGGCAAGAGTATCATAGGTAAGAGCCAAGCCTTGAAACACATAGTGTGCATATTAACAAAATTTAAAACCATTAGGTGAGGCTGGAAATACTTTTCCTGTATAGTAAATTCTTAAACTTGCATTGCTACAATTTAATTTAAACTGTAATGAAAGCACCTTAATTACAACTCTAGACTCAGTAATATTAATTGTTGAGCTTTTAGTGGGAAAGATAATCACCATAAATTATGAAAAAGTTAAAAGGAAACAGTAGATGAGGACATTTACCTTCAAGCAAAGTAAACTATAAAATAAAGCAGTAAATTTACTTTTATGTCTACTGCGTAAAAAACAACTGAGACTAAAATGATATTCCCAGGGATCCATTCTCTTGCTTCTTCTGTACTGCAAAGCTCCTGATCACTTACCAATTATTCATTAAGTATCTTAGCAGGATTTTAAGGAGATTATCTGAGCTAGACCCTGAAACAAGTTTTTTCATTTACCAAAGCAAACCTTGGCCATAACAGAGAATAGCAAAGATGCTGACCTCCCCTAACTGATCTAGGCAACAAGGCCTCGTCACTCAAAAACCACACTACTAATCCTATAAGAGAGGTTCCTTCTCCTTTGTTAGATTAGCTCTTCTCTGCATCTTAAGTCTACCTGCATTAAGGGCCAAGGCCTTGGCTCCAAATAAGCTTTGCATAATAGGCTAATTGCTATTCAAATTTTTCTTCCCAGGAGCATGAATAGTCAAGGCTGTTCCTTTTGTTAAAATGCCAATGGAAAAGATATCAATCAAGATCAAGTTAAAAGGCAAATACACTTGTACACATACACATATATGCACACACATTTTAAAATGTTTTCTCTAAAAGATCTAGTTAAAAGGCAAGAGAAAAGTCTTTGAAATACTGGAATTTAAACCTGGAATATCACGCAAAAAGTTCAAAGTTAAAGGACAAGGAGAGAGATGGAAACTTATGCATCCGAATTATTTTCTTTCTGCTTTCCAAATAAACATAAATTTCCCTTCAATTTATAAAAACCATAATAACCTTCAGTATAAAAGTTACATACTCCAAATTTAATTTTAAAATGTTCATTAAATATTTTTTCCGGTATCTATTTATCTAAATGTTATTTCAGAAAAACTTCCAAGGAATCAGTTATCTTACCAATTCCAAAAGATGAAAAAAAGGAAGACTAAGAGAATATCAGGTTAACATATGAATATAAATAAAGAGCAATGCCTATGTTATTTTACGTCAGCAACTCTACCAAAACTTTCATATGGATTTTAACACAAGTACTGAAATTGACATAACCAAAATAACTCCATACATAATTGTTGACTATCAATGTAACAGAATCAATCTATCCCCTAATAACCCATTTCCTATTCTCTTAATATTTCCACTAAGTATATGCCATGAAACATTAGTCCCTAGAATATATTTCATGGAAAAAGGGTTCTGTTGCTAAATAAATCTGGACAACTCTGTACACTTTGACTTCTGGGATTCACAATGCACACAAGTATATTAATGTCTGAAAAGTCCTAGGAAAAAGAAAAGCCTGTTTATTTTACTTACTCAGCTTTTCCTATACATATTTAACAATAAAGCACTTTGTTGAAAACAATCCTTGTATAACTAATATTTCACAGAGCATATTTGAAGGAAATGGGCTTCTCCAATAATATTTCCAGAACTGTCACATAGTACGTCCACTTTGTACCAAGATTAAAAACACCTCTACTTAGATGCTTTTATATTTGCTCCTCAGATGCTACTGTTTTCAAGTCTTCTAGGTGGGTAAAAACTATTTTCTCTCTTTCAAGACTATCTATGTGAAGAGTTCTCCTTTATACTTACCTTTCTATAATGCTTGTCACTTTCAGATCCATGATCTGTTGCTCTAAATGCAGTTTCTCCAGGTGAACCTTAAAGATAAATATGCAGTCCTTTAAATTCTCCATTGCTGTCAATAGCCCAAATTCCAACTTACTTTACTTTATTTTTTATTTTTATTTTTTTTAAAGATTTTATTTATCTATTTGACAGAGAGAGAGAGAGAGAGAGACAGTGAGAGAGGGAACACAAGCAGGGGGAGTGGGAGAGAGAGAAGCAGGCTTCCCACCGAGAAGGGAGCCCGATGTGGGGCTGATCCCAGAACCCTGGGATCATGACCTGAGCCGAAGGCAGAAGCATAACGACTGAGCCACCCAGGCGCCCCATCCAACTTATTTTAAAGGCAAATAGATTTTTAGAGCAAAAATCACTTTTTTGAAAATTAAAAGCTATTCTTATTTTAAGGAACATACTGGTAACCTATGTCAAAAAAAACCAAAAACCTTTTTAAATATTGTAAGACATGTTTAAAATTTCACTGAAAATTGCAATTAAAAAAAAAAGACAATCTTTGATAAGGATTATTTTCCATGAAAGTACTTACAGTTCAGCCATTTACCACTGCCATTACAGACCACAGATAGTAACAAAATAAATTTAAAATGTCAACTGTGACAGGACAGATGAGACAAACTAAAATTACTTTTCATTTCAATTATCAGAAACAATCATATCAAGTTCAAGAAAATATTTTGGTTAAGCAAACTTCCTAATAGTTTTAATCTTACAGATACATATTTAGGAATTTTAGTTTTACTGTAAAATAATTATTTTATTATTTCACCTATAAGATAAGGAGTTTGCCCAATATAGTTCTGGAGTTTTAAAATTCAGCGTAAGCAGCATAAATTTGGTCTGAAATTTTATTTGCAACTAGTTTATTAGAAGCATTTAAAAGGCATGTTAAGGTCAGCAAAAATGTCTGTTTACACACCTAACAAGAGAAGTAGGTCAGAAGCTCCTATGACTTCACTAACCAATTTGTGACCTGTGAAAAACCAGCAAAAGGGGAAATAGAAATGTAAAATTTGACAGGAATGAGCAAACAAATGTCTGAGATCGGAGTTATATCATGATAGGGCATGAATTGGGCAAATACACCAGGATTAACCTCAGTAAATTCTACTCATTATGGTACATCATAATTAAGTTTGTTTTAAAATCACCAAATTGGTTCTAACCAATTATGAAAAGCAAGCACATAGGAAGTCTCATCTACTTGTCAGGAACAAGAGATATTTTTTTCCCTCATTGACTAAAGCCAAGCATGTTTAAGCTCTTACAAATTTTCATTTTGTTGCATTAACCAAAATTTAAAACCACTGAGCACCAAAACTTTGTGCGTCTTTTTTTCAAAAACCTGTTTTTCATTTGTACTAAATGTTTTCATTTAAAAGATAGGAATCAACAAATGAATACATCTCAGTATTTTTCCTCTGTGGTTTCTGACATTTCAAGTGAGATCAAATAGGTCCCTCCTTACCTGTGGTGAAAAAGTCCTTCAATAAGCTGAGGCTTTCGGCAATCTTATCAAAGTCAGGTGCCAATTTTGCAAGGTCCTCTGAATTAGGAAGTGCTTTTCTAATTTTCTCTGGAGAAGATGAAAAAAATTTCTCAAAATAAGAATTTCACTATTAAAACATTGATAAAAGTTAAATAATATCATATATAAATATATATAAATTTAAATTAAAATATTTTTCCATTTTTCTCCCTATTACAACCACAACTGCTACATGTATCTGAAACAATATGTAATTCTGAGGATATTTCACAAGCCATGAAATTTGTTTTAAAAGACTCACCAAATGTCTGGCTTAGATGGACAGCTTTGCTCTATAAGTTAAATGCCTTGAAACAGAAGCACTATATGAACAATGTTAACACTGTACTGGAATCAGAAATACTTTTAAGGAGAAAATCACAGCAAAGAGGCTAAGAATCAAAGGAAAAAGAGAAAAACGCCTCCTCTAACACCTGGTCCAAACTCAAAAAAAGTAATGAAATCTCAGTTCGAGTTCAGAAACAGAATTCCATTTCTTTTCTCTGTCCTTTCACAGACCTTCAGAAAATTCACACTTGTTACTATTTGGAAATAACTGTCTAAGAGCCCAAGGCAAGCTTTGGTTTTATTTTTGCTAGCTTTATTTATAAAATGGTCAGAGTATTTATTTTTGTTTACAAACACTCAACGATTTTGTCGAGGTTTGGTACAACTTTACAGTATCTTCTGATTTAGGATGGGCTTTTCTTAATTTTCTCTGCAGAAGACCAAAACAAATATTCTCAAAATAAGAATGTATGTCAGATATTGTTCTAGTGCTATAAAAGCATTCACCTGTTCAATCTTCACAGCAACCCTACAAAACAATTATCATCAACCACACTTTACAGGTGAGGAACTGAGGCATGGAGGTTAAGTAGCTGGACCTGCGCACACAGCAGAGAAGTGGGGAGTCAGGCTTCAGGCCCAGCTTCCGAATCCAGACCCTCAGCCCCACACTGTGGTACTGGCAAATACATCAAAGTCGAAAGCTCTCCCCATGAATATTAGAAAAATACTGAAAGAGTGCTTCAAATTCCTACAGGTTCCTCTGTCAATGCAGCATGGTTTTATCTTTAGGAAAATGCCGTGTGAATAAGTACATAAATTCCACCCCCCTATACACCTAGGCTAAAAAATTAGACAAAGTCTAAAAAACAGAGACTGACGAAAATAAGTTTTTAATTACCATAACTTAATCTTGGCAATCAGAAATATCAAATATACTTTTTTCTCATCTACCTGTTATAGAAAAGGGGGAACAGGGTGCCTGGGTGGCTCAGTTGGTTAAGCGACTGCCTTCAGCTCAGGTCATGATCCTAGAGTCCCAGGATCGAGTCCCGCATCGGGCTCCCTGCTCCTTGGGAGCCTGCTTCTCCCTCTGGCCCTCCTCCTCTCATGTGCTCTCTCTCTCAAATAAATAAATAAAATCTTAAAAAAAAAAAAAGAAGGGCGCCTGGGTGGCTCAGCTGGTTAAGCGATTGCCTTCGGCTCAGGTCATGATCCTGGAGTTCCGGGATCGAGTCCCGCATCGGGCTCCCTGCTCAGCAGGGAGTCTGCTTCTCCCTCTGACCCACCTCCCTCTCATGCTCTCTGTCTCTCATTCTCTCTGTCTCAAATAAATAAATAAAATCTTAAAAAAAAAATAAATAAAAATAAATAAATAAAAAAAGAAAAAAAAAGAAAAGGGGAACAGTGGCTGACTATGGGGAGAAATTACTAAAGACACTAGCAGGCTTTTAGGGACCTGGTTACAAAAAGTAGAGGTAACCAAGGGATCTAGTCAAAATTAACTAGTTAGGTGGGTCATGGTGTATCTGTTCTGGGTAACAATACACAACACTGAAAGTGATGTCTAGGAAGGCTGCTTAGCTGACAAATTCGTTAGCTAGCAAATGATAAGAAACCAAAGTGTATGTAGACTATGGTTTTAAAATATTAACCACACACATAGACTAGCTACAATTAAAAGAAAATGTCCATAAGGAAGGACAGTGGTGGCTATGTCAGAGTGATGGGCGAGGGCGTTATTTTTTTCCTACCAATTTTTTCTTTGATATTCTATTACTTTTACCATTCAAATAAAACTGCTACACAGTAAGCTCATGAGTGAAGAAACTATCTCAATACCACTATTTCTCTTTCCCAAAGATACTACCAAGAAACGTGTTTCAATGTTGATGATACAAACCTAAATCGATGTACTCATCAATCTCCCACACTATGTCAGGTACAATCCATTTATAGTCACTAAGGTCAGGTATCATATCTTTCCACTGATCAAAAGTCTAAAAGAGAAGAAAGTACGCCAATCAAATGCTCTGAACGTCATACAAAAATAAAGAAAAACTACCTTAATTTACCTAATTAAAACATGTTAATCTACTACAAACGATGTATTATGTTCAAACATTTTAGAAACAAAAGTAGCCTCGGCTCTTCTAAAAATAAATTAGCTGGCAAGCATATAAAATATGTAAATATTCCTTTACAAAATATGGAAAACATAAAAATTCAAAACACGGTCTTATTTCAAACAGGTTTCATGACCTGGTTTTAAACAATACTGTGGAACAGAAGACAAACAGGGGTGTCGCCTCTACTCCCAAAGCTGCCAAAAAGTGGTTGTGTTAGCATGCCACCTACTTTCCTGTCTGAGCTACTAAGTGGCAAGCTGAAAATCAAACCTAGGTGACCTCACCCCAGCCCAGTGCTCCCTTCCACTAGGCCATTCTCATCTCCTTTAAGTATAACCAAGATTCAAAGAGCATTTTTCTGTTAGCACCATTAAAACAATTTAGCACATGGTAGAGATACACAATACGTTTTTAAATATCTAATTATATTCTATTGCACAAAAGAAAAATGGTTTGTGCTATAAAACCCTCAAATAATCATGCTAGAATAATTGAAAAGGCAGTAGAAATAAGACTCACCTTTTTGGCTGTATAGCCACCCCCAACAGCAGATCCTAGTATGAGATATCGAAGTTTTAAGAGTCTTGCAGCTAATCTTGCTGGCCAAAAATTCCTGCATGGCTGGTAGCCATATTTAATTGGAGAAAGTTTCAATTTACGTAAGGGAAGGTTAGTTAGAGAGGAGAACTGATGAAATGATGTCCTGAATTGGGGTCTTTGAAGCTTTAAGGTAGGATGATGTGAATGATAAATACTTCTTGAAACCAGATGCAGTTTTTGTAGTGGTAAGCTTCCTTTGATTCCAGAGCTACGTTTCACTAAGGATTGGCAGACCTCACTAAAAAAAAAAAGAGCATGGGACAAAGATCAGACTGCATAACAATGCAAAGGAAATGATATAAAAAGAGCAATATACCCAAGAGAAAACACACAGGCGGGCATGTGACCAACCACATTATGTCAGACAGTACCTCGCATTTTCTAACCATTTACTACATGCCAGGGACTGTTGCAGCATGTGCTACCTCCTTTAATCCTGCTAAAAATCCTATGGTGAAAATACTGGTATTACCTCCATTCTGCCAATGAGGAAAAGGTGGCACAGACACATAAATAACTTGCTCAAGTCCACACAGACAGGATTCAAACCCAGGCAGTGGGACTCCAGAGCCTGCCTCTCATTTACTTATTAACTGCTATTCGCTTTCAGTAAAATTGGAAACAAAATGAATGCAAACCTGCTTTTTTTTTTTTTTAAGATTTTATTTATTTATTTGAGAGAGAGAATGAGACAGAGAGAGAGCACGAGATGGGGGAGGGTCAGAGGGAGAAGCAGGTTCCCCGCCGAGCAGGGAGCCCGATGTGGGACCCGATCCCGGGACTCCAGGATCATGACCTGAGCCGAAGGCAGTCGCTTAACCAACTGAGCCACCCAGGCGCCCCGCAAACCTGTTTTTAAGCACAAAAATTCCAACAGCTTAGAATAGCTATTGTTTGGCCTCTCCTCTAGGTCTCAGATAGCCCAGGGATAGAAATTAAGGAAAAATCATTAACTACATATAAGGTACCTGACTGAAAGTTTCTGAATAGAGTAAGATTAATTAAAGAGTAATAAAAGAAGATACTAAAGGCAATGTGCAACAATCTGAATATTTGTGTCCTCCCCCAATTTATATATGGAGGCCTAATTCTCAACATGAAGTATTTGGAGGTGAGGCCTTTGGGAGGTAACTTGCTTTGTATGTGGTCATGGACATGGAGCCCCTGTGTTGGGATTGGTACCCTTATAAGGAGATGAAGAGTACAGATCGATCTCTCCCTCTCTGTCATGTGAGGACACAGAAGGAAGATGCCCGTCTGTGAACCAGGAAGCGAGTCCTTACCATATACTAAATATGCTGGCACCTTGATCTTGGAGCTCTCAACCTCCAAGAACCGTGAGAAATAAATGTCTACTGTTAAAACCACTCAGTTTTTGGTAATATGGGGAGTGATAAGGTGATTGTATATCAGTTGTGCAGATATAAGAGAACAGACTAGAGTGAGTTAAGGTGGCAGCACTGAAAAAGGAAGGGAACAGTAGATACCAGAATGACAGACTAGACACGGGAGACAAGGGAAAAGAGTAAATAGTAATCCTGATGTTTTCACTGGGAGACTAACATTACCACTTACAGATATAAAAAAAAAAAAAAAAAAAAAAAATCAAGAGCCAAACCAACTGGGGGGAATAGCCCATGGTTCCATAACGTTTAGCTCAAACTTCTTTCAGCTCTATCCTTACAGCCACTTAGTGTTTTGAGCCAGATAAACTTTGGTTCCATTTATAGTTTCACTGCTTACCTGTGTGCAATCAAGGGCAAATTATGAACTTACCAAAGCCTCAGTTTTTTAAAATCTGTTAGAATGGGATAATAGCTATATCAGAGTTATTGTCAATAATCACTAATTCAAGTTATCTTCTTCTCAGACCATAATCCCCTTCGATACAAGTATCTTTGATGCTACTGGAACAACCAAGTCACGGATCCTTCTATCTTCTTAACCTATTAGTCTCCACCTTATCTATTTATCTACTTACCTACTTAACCACCTTATAATAAATAGTTCATAGTTTCAGTGACTCTTCTGCAAATAATCTAAACTCAGTTGCCCTCTGGTTTTTTGTTATACTTGTCTGGCAAAATACAAACCCTAGATGAACTTTATTATCACTTTAAGCCTGTACCAAGGGAATGAAGCACTACTGAAGAAAATTGCATCTACTGGACAGACATCTCACCTTGGTCCCCAAGAACGCCTGACAATCCTACATTTTTCCACTCTCTGATAGGACTATTTCAGATGTTCTCCACCCTCCTCTACCCTCCCACATTCTCCCTATACTTCCTGCAATCTTCTGGAGAAAATGGAAGCCATCAGGAGACATCCTGTTATTTCCTACTGCATCTACACCCACCCTCCTCTAGCTCCCTGTCCCCTCGGGTCCTGAGCCCTGAGCCCTGTGAGATTACAGTTAGTACGCCTCTTCCCTTCAAAGGCAAATCCCTCTGTTTCCTTGGAATTCTTCCTGCCTTTTCAGGCATCACTAGTCAAGTCTCTCTCAATTTAAAGAAGAGAGAAAAAACAGACACTGGTTCCCTGCTCTAGCTATTCTATTAAAAGCCAAACCAACCTGATTTCCATTTGTATCACTTCAGTGAAACAGCCCTTACTGAGTGTTCTGATGCCTTCCAATGGGTATTTATTTTTTCAATTCTCATTTTCTCTCTCTCACCAGTATCTGACAGTGTTGACCCCCTCCTTGCTGGAATTCCCTTTACACCGATAGTCACTAGCTTTACTCCTACTCACTGGTCACTCTTTTTCAGGCACCCCCCCAGCTACCCCCCCTTTTTTATTTTAGAGAGAGACAGACAGAGAGCTTGTGAGCAGAGTGGGGGGTGGGGCAGAGGGAGAGGGAGAGAGAATCCCAAGCAGACTCCCTGGTGAGTGCAAAGCCCAACACGGGCTTGATCCTAGGACCCAGAGATCACCATGCCAGCGGAAATCAAGAATCAGATGCTCAACCAACTGAACCACCCAGGGGCCCCTCCCCAACTACCTTTTAAATGTTGGGAGTTCATGGGACTTTAGATATAAAGTCACTTCTCTTCTCATTCTATTCACTCTTCCCAGGCAATCTTATCTATACCCATTTCCTCAATTACCACATACATACTCATGTTTCTCAAAACTTGTATGTCTAATACAAATAGCTAAGTTCCAGATCCTTGTGTCCAAATGCCTACTGAACATCACCCCTTAAATATCAAAAAGTACCTCAAATGTCCAAATCCATGATATCCTTCCTCCCTCCTCCCAAACCCTCACCCCCCCTCTAGTACTTCCTATCTCAGGAAATGGCACAAACACCTGTCCAGTTGCACAAGCCACAAACTTGGGGTTCATTCTTGATACCTTCCTCATCCTCAAGTTCTACTTCCAACACAGATCTCGAATCTTCCATTTCTCCCATCCCTACTACCACCGTTCCTTACCTTGGCTGCTATTAACAGTCTCGACTGAGGTGTTCTCCACAGCACAGTCAGAGCACTCTTCTGAAATGTAAATCTGATCACTGTCACTCACCTGCATAAATCTCAATGTCTCCTACATTCAGAATAAAATCCAAACTCCTGGTCTATAAAGCCCTCCAGGGTCTGGTCCTGCCTCTCTCCCTCCCACCTCCCAGCTTCACCCAGACCAGTTTTCATCTAGCTCCTGGACTGTGCCATACTCCTTCCCACCTCAGGGCCTTGTTACCCACTGTGCTTGGACAAACTCTTCTACCTACTTAACTCCCGCTACTCCTGTTAACTCTGGTCACAAATGGTTTCACTTCAGCATTCCCTCCTCTCCTGGAACCTATATTCTAATTTGAGTCCCTTGCTACAGTTCTTAGCTCCCTGTACTTTTTCTTCAGTGCACATAAAATTGGTATTACATAATATTGTAATTATTGGATTAATATTTGTCTCTACCAGTAAACTGCAATCTTCATAAGGCCAGGGCAGTCCTGTTTTGCTTGTCATTGTATTTCTAAAGCCTGGCCCAGTGCGTCACAAGTAGTAGATGCTTAATAATTTTGCTGAATGGACATATGTTATTGGGAGAATAGCAAAAACAAAACAAAACAAAAGGTGAAAGAACCTAGCAATGACCATAGAGTAAGTGCTCAATAAATGTCATTTCAACATTAACTGCACTAACCTCTACTAATGTATCAATGAGTAGCCCTCTATCCCTCAGAAGTTGTTTGCTTTTTTCAAGAAAGGAGTTAATCCAAATATATATCCAAATAGATAAACTCCAGACCCAAGGAGTCCTGTTGCTAAGATGCTATTACAAAGTTTATTGAATTAAACATGTCTTTAAGAGCTTAATAAATGTCTGAAAGGAATTCATGGAAATTAAAGCTGTAATAGCCAATAAAAAAAGATGAATAGCAACACCAGAAAATGTATTAAGGAAATTCTTGGGAACTTAGAACATAAAGAAATATGGTGGAAATCAGTAGAAAAAAGTTAAGTGACTCAGAGAAGTGGTATCCAAAGTGGGGATGCATGTGGAATGCGTTCCATAGGATACACAAAATGACTCACTGGGATTCAGGAAAAAGTACCAAAGCTTCCAGATACAGTATTTTTTTGTATCTCATCCTTCAAGATTATGTTAGGGTAGAATTATAATGTAAATAATTAATACAGAGATATATATAATTTAAAAATAAGTGGGCATATACACATATTGTAGTATATGTCTACTTTTTTTTTTTTTTAACATATGATAAGCACAGATCACATTTTGCAAATCATGGACATACAGGATCAATCTAAGAAGACCAATTCACCTAACAGGAGTCTAAAAACAAAGAGGAAAAATGAAAGGAAGAAAATAAAGAAAGAAGAAAAATTTCCCAGAACTGAAGAATCTTCTTAACAGAAAGGCCCACTAGTACCAAGCCAGATTTGGGGTGGAGGTTGAAGGGGGGGACCCACACCTTTGTCAAGGACAAAGCCTTGAGAAATTAAAGATAAGGCCAAGATCCTGAAAGCTTCTGTGAAGGGAAAAACAGGATACCTACAAATACCCAAAAATCAGATTGTCCCAAGAGTCTGTATTAGTGACAAAGGATGCTAGAAAAAAATGTAGAAATGCCTTTACCATTCTGAAGGAATAGTATTTTGAATACAGATTTCTATATCTGGCCAAACTAAAAATCAATTGTGATGCAAAACAACCCCCCCCATGACTCCCGAAATCATGTATTCTCTCTCATCTCTCATCTCTTTTAACCTATGTATCATCTCCTAATACAAATTCTTTTTTCAACAAATTTACACAAACATTTATTGCACCTAAATAAGTGTTGCTCACTGATCTTCTTATATTACCATATGTATTTAGATATGTTATATCAAAAAATGTTTATGTTCCCATCTGTTTAAGAATGGGAATTTAAATGTACTCCTTCGTAACAAACACGCAAAAGAAATACAGCAAAAGACAAATTCCAGAGCTTGAGGCTTCTGACCTTCCACATCTCTACTTCTGCAGGGGAGCTAAGCTGTGCTATCAACATAAACACTTTTAGGCCATGACTCTGTGGAGTCAATAGTAACTTAAGCAATTTAGCGCAACAGCATCCACCTGAATAAACAAATATCAGTTATTAGTCTGTTGTTAAGCTCAAATTTTAAAGTTTTCCTACGTATCTCTTTTGTTCCAATGAAGTATGCTATTTTCTGCAAAGTCTTTTTTCCCTTTTTATTTAAATAAAATTAGATATGTTTCTCCAGGAAACAGTGAGGAGTAGAAATAAAAAGGTAGTAAATAATTTACCGCAGTATCAAGGGCTGTGGATTTACTCAGAAACTCAAATTCCATAATATTAGAAATAACTATTCAGTTATTCTGACTATAGCTATTGTATGTCATCCAGTTCTAAATTTAGACTCAACCTTCATAAAAATGGATTCCATTCCTTATAAAAACTAGAAATTACCTACACCATTTTATTTATTTATTTATTTATTTAAAAGATTTTATTTATTTATTCATGAGAGAGAGAGAGAGAGAGAGAGAGAAGCAGAGGGAGAAGCAGGCTCCCAAGGAGCAGGGAGCCCGATGCGGGACTCGATCCCAGGACCCTGGGATCATGACCTGAGCCGAAGGCAGACGCTTAGTGACTGAGCCACCCCAGGGCCCCTGAAGTAGGGGCTTCTTAACCCAGGCCTCCCTCCCTACAACTGAGAACACCAGCTCCCCCAGGGTCTGGCCCCAGCCAGAGGGATGAGTCCAGTCACTCCTCGTGAATACTAGCCAGAGTTTTATTTTATTTTTTTAAAGATTTTATTTATTTATTTGACAGAGAGAGACAGCGAGAGAGGGAACACGAGTAGGGGGAGAGGGAGAGGGAGAAGCAGGCTTCCCGCTGAGCAGGGAGCCCGATGCGGGGCTCGATCCCAGGACCCTGGGATCATGACCTGAGCCGAAGGCAGACGCTTAACCGTCTGAGCCACCAGGCGCCCCTACCTACACCCTTTAAACAACGTTATGAAAAAATTCAAGACAGGTGTTTAGAAGCGAATTCAGGAAAACCAAAGTTTTCTAACCTTATTTGATGCATATTACTTCTTATCAACAGCCTGCAACAATGAGTTAAGCCTGAAAGTATTTAAGGATATTAGAACACAAATACGTGTAAAGACACAGTCAAATTTAAATCTTATTAAAATGTATATAGTAACCCACAGAAATGAAAAGATTCTAAGATTTTTTACTTGGGCTTAAACCAGGCCAGGGCAGCAATAACAGTGTGATTAGAAAGTTGGTGCTATATTCACCACTTTGCATCCAAAGCAAGTCTTCCTGCCTAAAAATGAAAAGCTGCTATTAAGAGGGCACCTCTAACCACCATCTCTGACACCATTTGCATCACTGCCCAGAACGGACTCCAAAGCAAGTCTACTCAGCGGATTAGGACAAGAGGCAGAGTCCTCTTCACTCTGGGAGAAGAACTTGTACCCGCAAGAGCAATGTACACCTGGCATGGAGGTAGAAGAAAAAGAGTTAAGAGAGAGGCGGAGAGGGTGACACATGAACAGAGCCAGAGGCCGGGGAGGTAGAGGGCAGAAACAAGAAGCAACCAGAGACAGCGACAACAGCAAGGGCAGAAAGGTGAAAGGGGCAGGGACAAAAGGACAACAGAGACCGGCCAAGACTGAAAGGAGCCCAGAATCTTCGAATGGCAAAGGAACAGGAACAAGGGCCAGGGCTGCAACCGGCACCTCAGGTAAGCCGGGCCAGGGCTCTGTTAACTACGGGTCCTCAAAAATATCCCGGAATCCTCCAACCACCCTCCGCCTGGCCTGAGAGTTACGTGCACATTCTGAAGGTAGTGATGAAATAACTCGGGTTTTTCGGAGGCCCCAGAAATAACGGGGCCAGGTCGGAGCCCACACTTACCAGGCCACGGCGGCCCGGCGTAGTCGCCACATCCCGCCGGCGAGGAAGTCACACCGGCGCCGACAGGGCCACGCGGCAGCCCGGGTGTCAGCCCCCGTCCGGCCCTTGCTCCAGGAATGACCCAGGAAGAAGCCCTCGGCAACAAGGGCACAGAGCAGCCACTGCGGCCCTCCCAATGGCGCATGGACTTCCGCGAGAGCCCGCCCGGCACCCGTATTCCGTCCGTCAGAGAAACAAGCACCCCGCACCCTTCCTAGGAGGGCAGCACAAACGGTCCGCGGAGGAGTCGTGTCCGCGCTCAGAGCCTCCAGAGGAAACAAACACTTTCCGCTTCCCCTCACCCTTTCCCTCCGTCTTTGTTTCCGGGTTGGAATTACGAAATGTGAGCTTCCCAGGTCAAAGATTTGGAGAGGGGAGGAGGTGAGAGTGGGGCAGGGACTGGTAGGGTGTAGGGCGAGGAAAGCGGGTTGATAAATTCTCACCGGGTAGCTACCGATTTAAGAAAATGTAGGTATTGATGGAGCATAGAGGAGCCTACGTAGCTTCAAATGAATACAGTAATAGTGTAATAGAATAATAAAAACCAGTGGTTGCCCCACTCTTTCGTTCGGTGTCCTTGTTTACAAAGCACTTGCAGAACAATCTTGGGAAGCAAGAGGAGTCACGGATTGGTTAAGTGCTTTAGGATCTGAAGGACCTCTGAGAAGGGCTCGGATCAATTAGACCAGCTGTGGGTTTGGGATAAGTTTGTGCACTTTATAAAGGCATCAAAACTTATTTTTAATTCACTTTTTAAATGGCTTTCATTTGGCTTTAATGGCATCTGTCAAAGCCTCCAACAATTCCAAATTATCAGTGGTCCCTGGACCTCAGCATTCAGCTTAGAATGTTGGGTGCTCAGCACTCTCCTTAGTTGGCTTCCTTCTCTGGGTTTTGGGGACATAACATTCTCCTTTTTCTCCAGGAGCTGCTGCTCCCCATTCTCCTTTGCTGGTTCTTCCTCTCCCCAAACTCTCAGTGTAGGAGAGTTCCAAATCTCAGAGTTCCTGGGCCCCTTTCCTTCTCTATCTTCATTCTCTCCCTACCTTATTTGAATCAGTTCTATGACTTTAAATACTGTTTGCCCTTAACACTCTTGTGTTTTATGAGGAAACTGGGACCCATAAAAGGGATGTGGCTTGTGAAAGGTAATGAAGTCAATTAGTGACCAAAATCAAAGGGTCCTGTGCCCCCCTCTTCATTTCAACAGCACTCCTTCTCCCCCCCCCCACCCCCGCAATTCCTCTGCCCTTAATCATCAGAATCCTAAATCAGTCTCCATCCATTCACAACAAAGCCAAGTCTTAGACCCAACCCTTGGTAGTAAACTTTCCAAATGCAGGACTCTGGGGGATTTTCTTTCTTTATTGTGGTGACTTTTAATGGCAGGTCCAGATAGGAACTTGCTATATTGTGCAAACTGTAGCTTTTTCCAGGATTGCAGAGTTGGGCAAAAATTCCTTTGTTACTGTTACTTCCCAGTTGTTTTAGAAAAAAAATAAGAGAAACCAAATAATGGTAACCCCTTTCATACATGGGTTACCTTTACATTTCACAAAGCACCCCCCCCCTTTTTTTTTGCAATTCTACTTCTAGGCACTTAGCCTGAATCATTCCTTCATGTGCAAAGACAAATGCATGATGTTTATTTTTGCATTGCATGAAATAGTGAAAGATTGGACTCAACATCGTTAAAAGATAAACTGAGGCATAATAAAAATTGTGTTTATTTGATTAAAAATTGATTTGAATTAAGCAGTGCCAAGCCAGAACTCTATCAACAGGAGTCAAGGACAAGACTTTTATAGAGAAGACAGGGAAGCAAAAGCGAGGAAATTTGGCTATAGCTTATATGATTGCCTTATTTGGGAAAGTCTAGTTGACTGTGATTGGTTGCCTTAGGTCTTTCTTTCTTTCTTTCTTTCTTTCTTTCTTTCTTTCTTTCTTTCTTTCATTTAAATACAATTAGCCAACATATAGTACATCATTTGTTTCAGATGTAGAGTTCAGTAATTCATCAGTATTGCTTTCTTAACCTTAAAGCATTTATAGGCTTAAGTTTTGGTTTGCTTAGTAGGCTGCCAAGGCATTAGAACCAAGTTGGTCTATATATTCAGCACATTCCCAACATAATCCCAGCAGGCATATATTGTAGAAATTAACAAAATATTCTAAAATGTATATAGAAATGCAAAGTGTCTAGAATGTCTAAAACAAAGAACAAGTAGAGTATTTATAACCAACTGACTTTAAGACAATATTATAATCAAGACAGTATAGTACTGGGATAAGAACAAATAGATCAAGGGACAAAATTAGAGGGTTCAGAAATAGATCTCCATTTGTGCAGTCAATTGGTTTTTGGCAAAAGCACCAAAGCAATTCAGTAAAGATAGAAGTCTTTTTAATAAATGATGTGAGAACAATTGGATATCTGTATGGGAAAAAATATACCTTACACATGCTATACATAAAATTTAGTATAAATTTATATCATATGCAAAAATTAGTATACATAAACAAAAGTTATATAAGCTGGGACATAGCCCTAAATGTAAAAGTAGAAACTATAAACCGCTTGACGAAAATACAGATTATCTTTGCAACTTGGGAGTAGACAAAGATTTCTTAGGTCACAGAACATAATACCACAAAATTAAAATTGATAAATTAGACTACATCAAACTAAAATACTTCTACTCATGAAATAACAACACTGAGCAAATTTAATAGACAAACATCAAATTTGGAGAAGATATTATTAGAATATTTATCTGACAATGTATACATGTCCAGAATATATAAGAAATTCTTACAACTCAGTAATAAGATAAACAACCTGCTATGGTTTGAATGTTCGTACTAAGGCCCATTTTGTTGGAATTAGGGGCCTTTGGAAGGCCTAAATCATGTGAGGGGAGTCCTCATGAATGGGATTAGCCTCTTATGGAAGAGACCCCACAGAGCTCCCTAACTTTTCCACACTGTGAAGTTACAGCAAAAAAGACAGCCATTTATGAACCAGAAAGCAGACTCTCACTGACCAGAACAAGACCATGCTGGTGCCTTGATCTTGGACTTCCCAGCCTCTAGAACTGTGAGAAATTTCTGTCTTTATAAGCTACCCAATTTATGGTATTTTGTTATAGCAGCCCAAATGGACTAAGACAAAACCCAGTTAAAAATTCAAACAAACACTACACAAAGGAAGATGTGTGTGTGTGTGTGTGTATCTGTATCTATCCAAAGAACACATACAGTGCTCAGTGTTATTAGTCATCAAGGAAATGCAAATTAAAACCACAAGGACATAACACTGTATCTTCACTAAAACTGCTAGCTTTAAAAAAACTGACAATACCAAGTGTCAGTTTCTTACAAAGTTAAACATACACCTCCCCTTTGGTCTAGGGATTCCAGTCATACATATTTATCTAAGAGAAATAAAAACACGTTGTGCACAAAAAGGCTTGTATAAAAATGTTCATAGCAGCTTTACTCACAGTAGCCAAGAACTGGAAGCAAACCAAATGTGCATCAATAAGAAAATGGATAAATGAATTTATACAAGGAAATACTACTCAGCACCAAACGGGGAAGAACTACTGGACATGTAACAACATGAATCAGACTAACAGACATGCTGAAATCAAAAGAAGATGTTCCACTTATAGGAAAATGGGTGTTAGGAGTGGGAAAGGAACTTGGAGAACTTTTTAGGTAGATGGAAATGTTAGGGGTCCGAATTACTTGGATGTATCTGTTTATCATAATGTGCAGCTAAGAACTGTGCCTTCCAAGTTTCAGACATATGTATGTACATTTTGTATGCATCTATAAATTGATTGAGTGGGGAGGGTTGAAGTAGGTGGAGATTAGATGGAACAAGAGTGACAAAGGGTTGATAATGATGAAAGCTGGGTGGTAGGTACATGAGGGCTCTTTATACTTTTCTGTTCACTTTGTATGCATTGGAAATTTTCATCATAATGGCTTTAAAATTTATCACATACTTCTTGAAAAAATGATGCAGGAAGAAAAATAAAATGAATGTGACAGAAAGGTAGTCTTGTGGGTAAAAGAAGGGGGAGCAGAGGCTAAATAGGAAAGCCTGTGTACGATGTAGAATTCATTCCAGCTGTATTCGTTTCCTATTGGGCTATAACAAATTACCCCAAATGTAATGGCTTAAAACAAAACAAATTTATTATCTTACTGTTCTAGGGGTCAAAAGTAAAAATGGGTTTCACTGGGCTAAAAATGTGTACAGTGCTGCTTCCTTTTGGGGGCTCTCAGGAAGAAGCTGGCTTTTTGCCTTTTACAGCTTTTAGAGGCTGCCCACATTCCTTGGCTTCGGGCTCATTTCCGTCTTCAAAGCTAGCAATGACTGGCTGAATCTTTGGAACATCATCTGCCTTTGACACTGACTCTCCTGCTTCCCTCTTCCACATTTAAGGACCCTTGTGGTTTCATTGGGCCCATCCAGATAATCTAGGGTAATCTTCCTATTTTAAAGTCAGCTGGTTAGCAATCTTAATTCCATCTGCATCCTTAATTCTCCTTTGCCATATTCACAGGTTCCAAGGATTAGGATGCAGACTTCTTTGTGGAAGGCATTATTCTGCTTACCTCACAGCTCCATTTAAATTCTTTTCAACGGTCTCTCTCTGATACTAAGCAGTGTGTGTGTGTGTGTGTGTGTGTGTGTGTTTGAAGTATCAAGTGTATGGAGCTCAGCCACACTCAGAAATAGCTGTAGTTTTAAAATTGTACTTCTAAAATTTGTTCTTTATCATTTTCTTAGTTTTAATGACTTTCATACCTTTGTCTTCTTTTCCTGCAATCTAAGAAGAAATCTCAAGTCCGCATTCCATGCCACAAATTTCATTTTCTTCAGTGGCACTTTTGCCTTCTAAGTAGTTTCTTAAAAGTTACTTTTACATTGTAAATCTTGAAATGTTTCCTTTGCTTATCTTTACTGCTTTCTGTACCTGTATTTTAGGGGTCAAGCTTTTTTCATCATGTTAAAGATGCAAAATTATTGTCTAAAATTTTTTCTTGTCCCTATAGTGAATAAACTCATAGATAATAAATTCACTGATATGATCTTTCTATGGATCTTTTTATTATAATGACTATAGTGATTACTATGACCAGTGGACACCCATGTAATGTGCTAGGGGCTATGTTACCCTTTATGTATAATATTTCCTTC